AGGGGACCGATGCCATGTTCTTGGGGTGTCGGTAGCCGCTCGCTAACCGTGTCGCCGGGAGCGGTGTGCGTGACGTGGGGTCAAGTTGGACCCTGCTGCAGATGGAATGCAGAGAGGCCATCGTGCTTCTGGAACAACTTTGGCTGTGGAGGTGACGTGATCAAAGTCGCTTGCAGGATCTTGTGTTTTGTGCGGATATTGCGTCTTGGGACCCGAGAGCGGACGCAGGACCACCGGTGCATTGCTGCATTTCTCGGTCTCGTCGGGATCCATGACGAGATGCCCCTTCGTCGCCTCCAGCTCTCGGATAATTCAACGACCAACCTCTTCGCTTCCTTAACGATCCTGGTCAGCAAGTGCGAACACCATTGATGTGTGTGGGTTGCTAGAAAACGTGCCGGGTTTGCAGGGCGAACGTACCTTACGTGACTTCTCGCAGACGAGCGATCTGAGAGCAGAAGTATGACAAGCTAAGGGCGATTTCATATTTAGCTATAAGATTTGGTATGTCGTTGGATGATCGAGGGGATTGTCGGGAGAATGATGATCAAAAGAAACCCGAGGCGAGATGGCGGGCGAGAAGTCTAGCCCGGTCAAAAGGGCAGGAGTATCAAGCGAGGTCAAGAGCACCAGCTTCATGGAATGACATGAAAGGGAAGCGAGTAAGAGCACTTGCTCTCGCAATTGCTTGCGGCCTGAAATACTCTTTGATGTCTAGGTAGGAAGGTAGGTAGGAAGCAACATCAACGTCCCTTAAGGCAGAAGACCACCTTCCCACCTAGGGCAGAAGTCACTCCACCCCACCTGCCTCATCAGGCCGTCTTCTTTATCAATTCTTGCATTTCAACTTGGAAAAGCTTGAAGCACGTCTGCGTTATCTGCATCTGCAATGTTACCCAAATTTTACAGGAAACAGATCAACCTTAGCCAGGGTCCTAAAGAAGGAGTTGATAGTGCCAGCTGTCAGATCTAAGTTCAATATTCACATGCAAGGCTATCTTCAATCAACATCACTGGCATCATCAAGGCTGGTCAGAAACAAATGCAGTAGAGAATTTGCATCATTACTGAGGTTTTGCGGTACAAATGTTGTGGTTCTCGTCCCATCAGTAGCTGTTAGCAGCAAGAATTCAGCTGGCTATGATACCACAGACAAAGACACATGTCTCCCAAGCTTACCCTTTTCTTTAAAAGCCCAATGCACCTTGTTTTGAGTGTCCAGCAAAGACACATACTCATCGTCATCCGCAGTGTCTCATTGCGGAACAATTTCCAAGGCGTTGTTATCTCTTAAGCAAAACCATTTGCATCCAGTATTCACAGCACAAAGTGATCTAGCTAGCAAGGTGCATGCTGATCGTCTGCCATCACCTTTGTTGCTCGCCTCGCGCTGTGTATTCCCAAAGAATAACTAGTCTGCTCACTGGACATCACATACGTGAAAGGCTGTGATTAGATTTCTAGGGATTCTGTTGATTAAAGTTGGAGATAGCAACAGCATGCTCAGGAAGAGTCCTGGCTGATTTTTCTGTTGGTTTCTCTACATTCTAGCCATAATGAACTGAGATTAAATAGAATGTTTCTCTCCATGAAGAAACTAGATATAACGCAGTATTACCACAGCATTGGGACGATGCTAGAACTATCCCTTTCTATACTCCCACCATACCCCAAGCTAATCTGCACTTTAAGCATGTCTGCACATGTTTAGAGATAACAGTTTCAAACTCTTCAACCTTAAATCTCATTCAGATTGGAACCAGCTATTTCTCGTGGCCTCCTTGCGTCACTCTCCTTGGTGTATTGCTAAGCGATATGTAGACAGAAAAGTGTTCCCTCTGGTACCTGCTGCGTATCGGCTCCAGTCATAGACGAAACGCTGGAGGGTTGACAAAAGGTTACGGCCCAGCCGCAAACTCTACTGCCATGTCGTGTCTGCAACAGCAAGTATAATTTGTCGATTTACGAAAGGGTAAACCCAACACCTCCAATATCTAGGATCTCTCTGGCGGCCTGCTCAACCCAAGGAAAGGCCTTTTCACATCGCGTTAATAAGGACTCTTTTTCTATTATAGGGATAAGCACTCTCCATACAGAAGAAGAGAAGACCGCGTTCTCCTACTCTCACTCGGTATAAAATATCAACCTTTGCCATATTCATGAGCAGCACAAGAGTCGTTATGCTCCCTGTCTCGGCTTGATAAAAGCCAAAGAAGGCCGAATGAAAACTAGATATTAGAATCGATCAACATCGCATGCCGCATGTGAAGGGATTACCATCTCATCTTCCAGGTACCTTTTCCAACATCTCCGTTGTTCTACGTCTCCGTCTCCCTTCAGATATTCACCCATAGTAAAAGCCGCCCCTCCAGACTGGCAATTTTCAGTGGCGTTCGTACTTGAGTTGGTCAAAACATGATGTTGAGATATATCTGTGTTTTGTACTCAGACGTGACGAGAAAACCGCTGATGAGCGTTCCTCTTTAGTAATTAAAAGAATGGGACCGAGAGAGCAGAGAGCATATTTAAATACTTCTACATCCCTTAGCCTTTCCAGATGTAGCGGGTATAAAAAGACCTCTGGCTTTCTCGCAGCTGCTTCTCTGATCCCCACGAACATGGTCGACCTCCCCCCTCCACTTTCTTCACAAGTGAGGATACCGCACAAATCCAATAAGACAATCTACACGAATATCCTCCCACTAGGCACCGACATGTAACAACCTCTTGAGACCCATCTGTTTTCTATTGTTTCCCAGCGTCTCCGTTACTATCAGTTTATTCGAGCAGAATACGGCAAAGCCAGACACCAACGTAACGCCAGCGTAGAAACCTCTTCAAAGAGAGCACAGTGTGTCGTAATCCATAGAACAAACCTGACAAGAGAGGTAATCAGATGCACCACGCTTTACAGAAGCACAGATACTAGCCGATTCTCATATTGTTGAAGACGGAAGGATTGTAATAGCGGCTCTTTTATATGTCCCAAACAAGCTACGGGCGGTCAACTCGAGAAATCCATGTTTCACAGGTAGTATCGGGCGGAGATCTCGCCACGAGGAAATACAAAGATCTCTAGGTTAGGCAACTTGGATCTGCTAGGTATAAAACGAATCGCTGCCGGCGTAATCTACTCCGACGACGTAATCTACTCCGACGACGTAATCTACTCCGACTCGGACGACGATCAAAATGCACCCTCATGAGGTGGCTTCCCCATGTGATAAAGCCTGAGCAAACTAAGCGTCCAACGTGCGGCATGTTGGCGTATCTCAATTTGATTTGTTCTCAATACTCCCCTGACTTCGTCGTCTATCTTCGTCATCGTGGATGCATTCCAACAGAATACGTACGCAACAGAATTTCTACGCAACATGACACCGTTCCGGGTCAGACTACCGCGCCGCACACGTCCAAATTCACAGCCTACCTCGTTCATTCAGCAGGTACATCCTTCTATGCCATGCTCAACAACCAATCACTATATGTGTTTGCGGAAAGGCAAAGCTCAGCACTGCTTCATTCCCTTATATAGAAACATACTCACTGCTTGTGGAAGAGGATATCATTCCAAACACACCTCGTTCATGGCAGACAAACGAGGGCAGGATACATTCAAGACATCGGTGTCGTCTTCCGCTGGTGTATTTAAAATCCAGCCCGGACACCAAAGTATCGTGCCAATACATGTAGCGTCGGCTGAGTCTTCTTTTAAGACTAAATAAACCATTTGCGTTTCGAAGCTTGCTGCCCCTCAGGCTGAGATGACCAATCTACATCAAACACATAAATACAGCACCGCCGAACTCGCGCGGCTTAAAGACACATTCCCATCCACCATCCCTCCTCTCCATCCTACCTGGTATATTCCAGCCAAATACATCTTCTCGAACAGAACCGTCTTCCTGGGCTTAAAGATGCTCCGTCAACTTCCCCAAAAGTTGAAGTACCATCTTGAGGCCGTGGGAATTCAAACAATTGTTGGAGCAAGAGAACAAGTTCCAGCACCAAACCTCGTTCCAATCTTGTGTGAGGAAAAGGGGACATGACAACCACGCACACTGCGCTTTATATAGCAAGAACAACTTCCCCAAAGGACAGATCCGCGGCATCGGCATACCCCTCCAACACAAAACAAACAACAAGCCCCAGAGTTCGAGATCACGGCTCCACAACACGAGGCATGTGCCAGATCATCATGATCAACACGTCTCTTTACCAGATGCGCATTACGCACATGGCCGTCTCGTAGCCATACCATCGCCGCTGTTGAACTCATGTCAGCATTCCTAGAGCCACGAAACCTTCTCTCTGTCGCCTTTCACCGGTCGGCGGCGTTTGGGATGTATTCTACTAGACTACATGTACACGAGTACTTCATTCCTTCAACGACCTAACACCGAGAGGCGTCGGGAGCTGTGAAGACAAACTTGCCCAGGATGCAAAAGTGATTAACTAAGGTACTTCGACTGTATCAGTTCGTCCGGTTCTAGAAGACCAAAAGGCTGCTGCTAGAATATATATGTAAGTAGACCGAAAGCGTGAAGATCGCAGAAGCTTCCGGCGGAGCAGCAGCTTCCGGATCCTCAAGTCGACGTAGCATCGCAGTCACAAACGTAATCAACAGGACGAAGAAGTTGAAGTAGCAAATCTCATTCATTGTTGATCGCAAGGAGGAATTATGTTCCCGGTTGCCAATGAAACTCCAGGCCTATGTATGATGCCGCAAAAAAGGAGATAGGAGTCGTAGCAAATCCGTCCCAAGAAGAAATGACAAACAAAACCGACTTCGACACAAATGGATATCCACGACGTCCGTCTCATAACTTGCGCTTAAGTCCTTGGCCACTTGACCAAGGAATGCCATTCCCTTTAATCCTGTACGCCGAAAACCCACACTGATTCACACCGTGCCGCCTCTAGATCTACTTCGTCGCGCTGAAGCTTCGCGAAAGAACAAGATCGCTCCCCGGTGGACTACTGCTGGGAGTACGAGGCTCCTATGCCCCGCCAGCACGTGCCGCCAAAGGCTGCTTGTTTCGCCGACCAAGAAGTGTCGCGCCGTCAAGGCTCAGCTCAAATGCACCCTTCTGCCTGTTGCGATCCCTTACCTGCTGGCGAGCAGCCGCAGTGACCGCAGCAGAGTGCTGGCCGTAGCCCTTCTCGTTGTGGTGAGCTTGGCGTTCGCGCTCACGCCCGCGCTGCTGCTCCTGCTGATCCTTGATCTGGGCATTGCGCATGCTCTGCTCGAGAGCCTGTGTTGCTTGGGAAGGCTTGTGTACGTATTCGGCCTCCTTGGTATCAGCCATCTCCTGGTCCTCATCCTCCGACTCCTCGTTCAGGTTGTTCAGGAAACGCGCAGGTACGCCACCCTTGGCACCAATCTGCTTCCGTCTCTTGGCCTCCTCCTCCTGTCTGTGAACGGCGTAGCCAACGTCGAAGACTTCACGCAAGTTGACAGCTCCTGGTGAACGGAAGTCGTAGCGGCGGTCACCGTCGACGAGTTTTGATGCATCAAAGGCGCGAAGCATTTCCGGCTGAGTCTTCTTCTCGTCGCGTCGTGTGGGGCCAGAGCCCTTAATCCAGGGATGAGCCAGGAACTCGGTGATGGTGTAGCGCTTCTCGGGGTCGACGGTCAAAAGGTGGGAAATCAGGTCCTGAGCAGACTTGGAGATGTCATCCCACCAGGGAGACAAAAATGTGTACTGTCCCTTGGCAACCTTCTCCGTCAAAACCTCGATGCTTTCGTCGTAAAATGGCGGAAAACCGCAGAGCAGCGTGTACAATACGCAGCCGAGGGCCCACATGTCGACCGACTTCGAGTAGCGCTCGTCCTTGACAATCTCGGGAGCTGTGTAGCCAACGGTACCGCATGGCGTCATCGTTTGGTTGTCCCATACGATCTTGGACAGGCCGAAGTCGGCAATCTTGATCTGGCCGATGCCGCCAGCGCCAACACCCGGAATAAACTCGCCTTCGTCGACCTTATCTTCATCACCAGGCTGCTTCGGCTTAGGGTGCTTTGACGGAACAATCGGAATCGGGCTAAACAGGATGTTCTCGGGCTTGATGTCACTAGCAGAAAAATGTCAGCGGGTGCAATAGACGATAGCATGACGTCAGAGAAATCCGACTGCAGTGAACCGCCACTCCGCATCAAGCCTGCCACAAGTGCACCACAATGCACTCATCGAAAACTTACCGATGAACGACGCCTCTCTCCTCATGCAGGTACTCCAAAGCCTGGGCAACTTGGACGATCACGTGTCTAGAAAGTTCCTCGCTGAAGTAGGTAAGACGAACGATCTGGTGGAAAAGCTCGCCACCGGGCGCCAATTCGAGAATGATGTAGTAGTATTGCCGTGATTCGGAGAAGTCGACAAGCTTGATGATGTTGGGGTGATCCAATTGACGCATGATTTGAACCTCTTTCAGGATGTTTGCTCTCTGCGCTCGGGTCAGTAACGGTGTCTGCGAAGTATATGGAGAGCCATCCTCGAAACACATAACAGAGCAACAAAAATTGTCGAGGAAATGTGAGGATGGCTCGATGTTTGAAAGACAAAAGAAATATTGAAATGTTTTCGCACCTCTGCTGCTTTGGGGACCTTCTTGAAGTCCGGGTGTAGATGCTTGTTACCCTAAAACGGCCTTTGTTGGTATGGAACCATCGGAAAACCCAACAACAGAAAAAAAATGTGCTCGAAAACAAGAAAATCATGGTCGCGGCCGTAACCACCCAAGCATCAACTCACCTGCATGCTGTTCATTTCGTACTTGCGGACGACCTTGATGGCACACTCGCCATGTTCGCCCTGGGTATCTCTCGCTCGGTAAACGTTGCTGAAGGCGCCGTCGCCCATCTTCTCAACCAGATCCCATCTTTCCAAACCGGGGTATCTCGGGAATTTGCTCTTGCTTTCGTTCTCTTCGGCGATGATCTTTGCCAAGTGTGTGCTATCGATGTTCTTGCCGGCCTTTTTGTTCTGGTTGGGCTCGACGGCGTGAGCGGCTACATGACCGGCTTGAGCGGCGCGGTTCTGACCATCGGCAGCGACCGAGTATGCGTCGGGAACGGCGGCGGGAGGAGGAGCGGCAACATGTGCCGGCTCGGAATTGCCAGCCATCTGTGCCTTTGGGGGAGGAGAGTTCTGTGACTTGGCTACTGTCTCGTCATTGTTCGCGGCTCGGGCTTGCTTGCCTGCGGAGAGATCGTCAGTGAAGTGTTGCGGAGAGCAAGACGGAAGCAGAAGAGAAATGCCCGCAAAAGGGGCTGCCATGAATGGAGGGGGGACTGATGGCAGGTAATGGGGAGGAATCGTACCGTGGCGGATGAAGTTCTTGAGCTGTTGTATCGTCGACATGGTGACTGGCGGGGTCGCTAATGAGGAGCGACGGTACTATTGAAGGTATTCGCGAGGTCGTATCTCTCTTCGCAAATCGCAAGGAGCGGCGGCCTGATGTGTCCAGCGGAGCCGGATTGAGGGGGTGAATCTGTGTCTGTGATTGGTAATGCGGAGGTCTAGCACGAGTCGTGGTGGAATGCTCGGTGCAATCTGCTTCGTGTAGCGGGAGCCAAGTCGTAGTGGATTGGAAGAGACGGAAAGGTAGGTAGGTAGAGAAAAGAATCTCGAGAAAAATGCAAGGTTGTTTCCTTTGAGAATCGGGGGGGACGAGCGGCTGAAAGGGAGAAATCGTTGCGAAAAGTAGAGATTTGTGGACTGCGGTAGTGGTGGTGATGTTGGCGGAGGGGCAACGTGGACTCGGATGACGGAAGTTGGAGGAACAGGACGATCGGGCGCGGGAAGGCGGGCTGCAGCACGTTTGTCTGCGACTGGGACTGCACCAAAGCAGGTGTAGCGTAAGGTAGCGTAGGGTGCTGCGGTCCCTGGTGTTGCGTTGCGTAGACGTCGGTAGCGTATTCCAGCGATTTTTCGTAGTTCAGGTCTCGGTAGGTGAGATAGGGTGAGGTAGAGGTCGAGAACAGGCGTGCAAGGTAGGCGAAGTAGCGTAGCGTCCTGCGTAATGCGAGAGACAGCGATGTAAAGCAGGGTGGGAGGGATGGAATGGACCGGGGGTGTGGAAAGTTTAGGTAGACAGGCAAGGGGGAAGAAAGCCTGGCCTGGCGATGACGGTGCCCTGGTGTACTGTGCGCGAAGACTTGGATTTGCGGCCCTCGGTAAAGGGAAGCGATGATGACAGAGGTGGGAAACAGCGTCAGGTAAGATTGAGGCCGGGTGTGTATGAAGGAGGGTGTGTGAGATGAGGTCCAGTCGAGGTTGAGTGAGGTTGAGGTCACCTTCAGGTTCGGAGGTCGGAAAGGTTGCGAAGTGAAGAGACGAGAGGGTACGTATCGTCAAGGTAGGTAAGTACGGACGGGTCCAAACAAGGCAAGCACGATGGAGGGGGGATGTGAGGTTAACGACGAGGGAATTTGATGGGAAAGAAGGAAGTAACTGGATGGGCAGAAGAATCGAGGCGACGAGGCGACGGCGACGAGACTCTTCTCTTTCAGCTGGCAGGAACAATTACAGCGACAGTCATCAGTGCCTCATTAGCGGCATCAGTCAGGACCTCAGGATCTTAGGATCAGGGAACCTTCCATTACAGACAGCACCACAGTCAGGTCAAGCAGGAACAGGAACAGTTGCACAGACAGAAGACAAGCAGCGCAGCTGACAATCGCGAGGGGAGAATTAATGGGACAATCCATCTTTCCCTGTGATTTTTCATTTCTGCTTTCCATTTTTGCGTTGCATTTCGTCAGTGGCAGTTTCCTGGTGGGCTGCGGGTGTGGTGGGCTGCGCAGGAGCTGCACCTGCCGCACCTGATGGCACCTGCAACTTCAGCGTCGCCCCAAAGCGGGGCATTTCTTGGGCGCTTTGATGATTGAGTGGCTGGAGCATGTGTCTCTGGACATTTTCGAGGAAGGCAGGATGCACGAAAGAGTCAGGTACCTTCGTTTCGTCCCGATCTTCCTTCTCGTGAGGTACCTCTACCCTAGGTATCAGTAGATATCACGTCGTGGTTTCTTCATCAAGACAGAAATAATCCATCCTGCCTTTCCTTCTTCAGAGGAAGGCATCTCCTGTTTCGTCCTTCTTCCCTCCTAGGTAGTTGCCAAGGTCATCATCTCATCGACCCTTTCTTCCCCAGCTTCTCCCTCCTCAGATAAGGCACCGTGATGTTTTCATCTACGCCCGTCGTTTCATGATTGGGTTACTTTCATCATCGTCACTTTAACCCCAGACCCATTGGGTCAGTTGCCGGGAGAGACCCAGAATCGGGCACGTTGGGCAGGGTACAGGCAAGCAAGGGAGATACCTGTGACTGGAACTGCTGCTTCATCGGCGAAAATCAAGGCCAGGAACAGCTTGGAGATCGCTGGGTGAATCACTTCAGGCTTGAGCAGGTTCACTGGTGACATTGGACGAGACTCGAGCAAGGTACATATCCAACAAGATGACCGTCAAAAACAACCTACAAATGGCCACCAGCAAGTCGAAATGCCGACGATATGGATCCAGGGGCGCCTCTTGCGCTAATTGCTCGTAGCGTCGACCTGGCGCGAAAGCACATCGCAGCATTTGGCGCAGTATCTCACCTCAGTGTCAAGTAAAGCGGCTGGGACCCTGACCGTCATCTACAAATATCCGACACGTCGTCCTCATCTTTCTCGCACAAGGACCAGGGTTGGCGTTGGCGACAAAACATCAGTGCACAGAAAATAAGGAAATTCCAAGATCAAAAGTGCTATTTTCCCTCACTCCCCCATGTTTTCCGGATTTCCATTTCCATGATTTGGCTGCAGGACGCATGCTTTTTGCTCTTTCCTTCCCCAGCCGGTTGCAGCGATTGGAACCAGGAAAAAAGAGTCAAAAAAGGCAGGGCCCGGGTGCTTAGCGGTTGCCCATCCATGATCTTGTGGGACGTGGATTCTGAGGTGTCCCACTCGCTTGGGTGGCGGGGCGGGGCCCCCGTTATGACGTCTTCTTCATCGTCATACCCGCATTTGGTAGGGATGTCATCGTTGACGAAGCCCCATCATTGGGGAGGTACGCTGTAATTATGGATACCTCTTACCTTGCCTGAGGCCATTGGGTCGGCGCCTGCCAGGCCCATGATTCATTCTCTTCCTCTCTCTTTCGCCGAGGTCACGGCCATCCCGTCCCATCTTCTGCCCGCACATCTGCTCTCCAGACAATCGACTCCCAGCTCCCAGAAATGTCTTTCTTTCTGCAGGGATCCTCGCTCTTTTTTGTCTCTCTTTTCCCAGCACTGGAATGGCCTCGGAGCCTCCCTTGACCTCCGTCGCCTGTGGCCCGTCCACCCGCCCGTCACTTCCGCCTCGGTCACATCCTCCCGCATCATCGCATCGGTCGGGTGGGTATGCTGTTGGTTCACGCCGCCAATCATCCCGTCTCTCGTTTTGCAGTCTGCCGCGCCGAAACACCCTGCGGCTATCTGTACCAAGTACGAAGTACCTTACCGTACCATCCAAATGATGATACGCGACGATTTGCAAGCCACACACGCAACCATCATTTCACTTACGACGCTTATTCGTCTACGCTCTACGCCAATACGTCTGGAGCTATTCCAAGATGCTTCTCCGTGTCCGCCTCGATCGACCGACACTGTCTGCTGTCTCGCATGTCCTTCCCGCCGTCATCCACGCGACGCGGGAACCAGGCGTCGTTATTGGTCTAGTCCTTCTCTCCTCCCGCGTTTGAGCCTTACATCTATCTACTTTCTTGCCCGCCTACGGATAATTCTGCCTCATACGGCCGATTTCTCCAACTCCCTTCTCCAACTCGACTCACCGGCGCTTCACCGAGCGGTCAATCAAGTCTTGACTTTCGATCTGCAGCTGGCAACACCAACGAGTCGGGATTCGACCACATCGTGGCCCTGCGAACCCAAGCTTCAAGGTCCCTGCCCTGGGATCACGACTCAAAAGACCAAACATTCGCTCTTCGAACATTCCGCGCGCAGAGACGAAATCGCCGGAAGCGCCTCATGGATCGGTCTAGACTCCGCCCCACTCGAGCCAACATTTTCTTTCGTCATTAATCCTGGCCCTCGTCCCTCGCCGGCGTCGGTCCGAATGCCTGCTTTGCCTCGGATTCCATCTGCTTGGGCCCTTTCTGCAGCAGGGCCAGCCACGTTCCAGACGATACTAGCCACCCTCACGAATGCGTGTGTCTGCTTCCAACGTTCGTCGAATCTCGTCCCGCTGCAAGACATGCTGCTAGCGGTTCTGCCCAACATCTGTCATTCCAAAGACTCTCGTCCATCCCTTGAATCGAGTTCGAGCAGAATCCCAGATTCTCCCGCAGGCCAAGCAGTTTCAACCTCCGTGCGTCCTCCGCCGGCCGATGCTCAGATTTTCCGACGCCACTACCGGTCTTTTTCGTGTTGCATCCATGCTTGGTCTGCCTTGGCTGCTCATCCCGCGTGACCTCATCTCCGGGGAAAGCACCCGCTTTGCTACCAGCCCGCGACACAAACCAGTCGGTTCCTTGCGCAGCAGGTCATTCAACATCCGCCTTCCTTTCAGCTCACCTAAGACGGTTCATTTAGACTTGGAATGAAACCATGGATCGATCAACCACCCGAGTCGGCCAAGTTGAAGCTCCCAGTAATCATCCCCTCAAACATGCGGCTCGGCAGCTTGTGCCTCTCGAAATATTATCTTCACCGCGAAGTGATCGTCACCAGTTGGAACGCATCCCTTCAGTAGCCGCGTACCAAGCTGCAGACTAGCGCTGCAGCAGTCCCGAACCGCAAGAGATTGTCATCGCACTCCAACACCGTGCAAAACAACACTTGACGTCATTCTACTGCTTAACAAGCATAACTTCTCACATGCGGCCGTCAGGTAGTGAACGCGAGAGCTCAGAGAACACAAGGCTGACGTCGGCACGTGGCTAGCCACCTGATGAGCACATAACACCGTCAAACGATTGGCCATGGCTGTCTTAGACAAACGGTCGTGAATCATCCTTCAGATGACGGTTCCAATGGCATTAATCAGCGAGCCACACCTGCGGTCCGTCTCCTGAAACCCGATATTGCCTCCCTGACGTCTTGATCGTTGATCGTCGCAGGTCATCGGCCCTCGCTTCTGTGAAGCCATTGCCAGCCGTTTGCTGTCGGATTCCGTTTGGCCCTTCACGCCCACGCCCTGCAGTTCTGCGGAATACGCCATCAAACCGTTTCCACATTTCGCGCGGCCGTAATGTCCACAATGAAGTCATTGTGGTCAGGGCGGCGCATCACATCTTGTTTTCCTACCTGGGGCAAACGCCTACCGGGAGCTTGGGTCAAAGATTGGCTCTCAGAGTTTTCAAACCAAGCGAGCGTGCGATATGCAGTCATTATCGACGTTGGAACATTAGTAGCATGGACCTCTATCAGGCCAACGGGACGTTATCCGCCCTCGTAACCGGAAAGTCAAGCGATCGACACTCCTAGAGCCCGACGACGGCGTCGGAAGAGGGGGCTCTCCTCCACACGGAAACAGGCATGTTTACCCGCGAATCGGCTGTGAATAATAGTGTCCATCAAGTCGTCTTCACTTTCAACAGTGCTTGAGAGTCCCACAGATTAGCCTTTGAGGCACCCAATGTTGCCCATGGATGGCGTTGGGCATCCCATGTGCGCTGGGCCGCAAACCACCTGAAGAACGGCGTTCTGCCGCTGGAGTTACCTCGCTGAAGCCCAGATCCTTTGCCGGATCATTCTTCATGCGGGTTCGCATCGGTGGGGCCGGTGTAGTTGCGAATCCTCGGCCAATATCATCGGCCGAGTGAAAACAGTGACATGATCGCGTGTCATGAAATTCGGCGAAAGTAACAGGACTTGGAAGTAATATCGGAACGTCGTCTCCGCCCTGGTTGACACACAAACTGCAATGAGCTGTCGAGTGTAAAGGACAGAAGTCTCCGGGTTGGTGATATCATGGTGAAATCAACCCGCCCGATCCAGCCTGGTCAACTCGGGAAACCCTGACAATGGTGATCCAATCAGAAGCTCAATGCGCTTCGACCTTGAAAGTTCTACTTCTGGACTCCATGATACTGTTGAGTATCCCAACGCAATTGGCAGTTCATAATGCGATGCTCATGGCCATATGTGGTAGACGGAATGTGGTTTCTCCCGTCATCATGACTGTGTTCATGGCCGAGGACTTGGCATAAAAGCTCCGGTTGATTACAACGAAGTTCGACTGCACAGAACATGGTAGGGCTTCAGATCTGCCGAGGGCACTTGCGAAACGACGATGTCTTGTCTTGTGATATCTTCGCCCTTTCTCGGCGTGGCTGCTTGTGCTCCGAGTCACATATTCTTCCCTCATCTTCATCGTCCACACGCGTCCTCGGTGTCTTCTACCCCTCTATCTAGGCTGTGTGATGATGTAAAGTCTAGTTTAAACTCCAGATGGGTTTGTCGGGGGCGACATATCGAGTCACTGAGGGATATCTGTGAGGAACAGAAGTTGTATGTTTTGTTCAACAGCATCATCCAACCTCACATTCTATTGCCTGAAGAGCAGGAGATCCAAAGCTATCAGCCTGGTTTTATACGTTGCCCGCCACGTGAACTCCAGGATGCCCGAGGCGTAGGATAAAAGTGTTGTGTTGAATGGATCGAGATTTCTTCCTCAAGCGACAAATAAGAACCCATCGACGCTGTTGTCTGCATGCACCCTTCAATATAGTCCAGGCTTGGGTTCAGGTTGGCAATGGATTTTCATCACCTGTCAAGTTGTTCAGTCCACATTTCAGCGTTATGTCCGTCGCTTCTATTGTCTGTGATTGTTCGGTACGTATTCTGGTCTTTCTTATTGCGGGAGTAAGAATCCGTCTTTTACCGTCATCGCTCGTTGATTGAGAACGTACGACGTGGGATGTGATATGCAGCAGTAGGACAGACAGCACCAGGTTCTATTGGAGAGATGGACCAATTTCAAATTTTCAATGCAACGTATGCCATTGCTTGTGTTTGGAATTCTAAAGGTAATTGGAAGCCTTTTATATCTAATCTTATGTTCTTGTAAACTCCGATGCGTCTCGAGGATATTTCGATGCAGGGGAGTCTTCAATTCAAGGTCCCGAGTTGCCCAGGACAATCAATTATGTGCTGTGAAGCAGACGATGGTGAGATATGCATCAACCCCCTCGGTATGTGTATGTGCGCCGCAACCCCAATCAAACACTCTTTCTAAATACTTGTTCGCCGAGTCTTTATGAAGCTTCCTCCCATCGTAGCAAGTCCATCTAGAACCGCGAAACAACGTGGTCGAAGATCAAGTCCTGCACAGACTCCATCAACCCGTACGAAAGGTGGTCGCTTGCAATCTGACACTTGCACGCGGGATCAAACGCGCAGACGGTGTCGTTCTGTCAAATGTCAGCATCGGACATTACATCTCCCAGATCTAGCGTGATAAGAGGGGGGGGGGGGAACATACGTCGAGACAAATATCCTTCACCTTCCCGCTCCGGTCCAAATCATCCGCAATCACCGGGATAGAAGCATTCGTCTTCTTCGCCTCCACCGCAAAAGTCCCAACCGCAGTCCTATTATCCGACCTCCTCTCGCCATCAACATTCGACAAACGCCCGGGAAGACGGTATGGATTCCCAACCAACACGACCGCCGCAACGCGCTCCGCGTCCAATTTCTCAAGAGCTTGCAACATCACAGTCGCGCCCTGGGAGTACCCGAAGAGGAAATACTTCTGCTCCGGACACGCTCTAGCTCCATTTTGCACCTGCTCCACGACGTCTTGCACACCCAGCGTGACGTTCTGGTCGAAACCGGCCGGGTAGAGCACCGAGTGGCTGACGACCTGCGTGTTGTTCTCGATCAGGCGCTGGATGGCGGATTGGAAGGAGGCGGAGACGCCTTGTGGTTCCATCGTGCCGCGGGCGTCGATCATTTCTGATGGGTGTGGTTAGATTCTTGGGTCTGGGGTAGGGGTTTGGGGGAGGGGGACTGAACTGTATGCTGCGCATTGGCTCGGTTCTGAGGAGGTGAGGTTGATGCGCGGGAAGGCGAGGAAGTTGCGGTCGCCGCAGCGGCAGCCGGAGGTTGCTGACGATACCTGAAGGGCCAGCGCGGAGAGGGCGGAGAAGAGTGAGAGACGGAGGGACACCATGATGACGGTAATGTTGTAGGGTGAGGATGTCTGAGTTGTGATGTTGCGAATGCCATATTTGAAATGCGATGAACCGGTGGTACTTATCTTGAGAGCATCGTAATATTGTCAAATGTTTCTCCTATTTGATGCTCCGCCCGTCGTTGCCGTATCCCGAAGATCGTACTGACCAAGCATTGAAGTTGATGAGTTGCAGGGGTTCTACTTACACAGCCATTGAGGATGAGCCGGTGGGATCCGCGTATAATCCTTCGGCTGTGTGGGCTCGTCCAATGGCGGGAATCGTACTGGTGACCCACTGCGTATTTAGTACCATTCTATTGGTCCGTTGCAACTGCTGCATGGGTTAGGCTCCTGGCGACGAGTTGTAGTTGGGAACTTGGGAGAGTGATACGGAATTCTAGATACGGATCTACAGAATATAGGAAGTATAGGAGCATTCATAACGGGTGTACGGAGGCGTCTTAAGAAGAATAGATACGATACGATCGGCGAACGACGTCTGTTTGACGCAATTTGTGGCGGATGACGAGGTGTACTACGGTAGGAGACGCGTCTCTTATCAGGACAATGTAAGCTATCGTGATTGAATGAGATTTGTAGTTTCGAGACTGCAGTGGGGTTTCACGGGGGCTGGATTTCTCATAATCTGAGATGTTGCCGTAGCAAGACTAATCTTGAATGTGAAGGCCAGATGTCGCGCAGCGGCTACAAGCAAGTGACTGAGAAGCGTAACCCAGTATACTTCGTGTCACATGGAACACACCAGCTGAATGGGGAGAAGTAGTAGCAAGTATATCTTGATTCAACGCGATGCAACAAGACTAAGATGCCAAGTCAACAAATTGGAAACCCAAACACTAGCCCCTTGTACCCAGTGATGTAACTCCAAGCCCAGACTCCCAAAGAAAATCATATATTCAAGTAAGAAATCTGTAAATCTCAAAACCCCCAATGAACTGTCACTGCGACTTGCTGTTCTGGACGCAGCGAGGAACTGGAATGTAGTTCGGGTTGGGGGGATCTTGAACGCAATGAGTGCCGTCCGGGCAGCTTCCATACTACGACGAGTTAGAATGCCATCCTGATGAGACGAGAAGAAAATTTCCTTACGTCGTTGATGCTGGTCAGAGCACACACGCCAATGTGTGTCGATGGACTGCCGTCTGCGTTCTTGATGCACATCTGGATCCCCTGCGGCCCGCAGACTTGCACGGGTCCGTGGGGACGACCTTGGGGCGCTGCGAGGGCCGTTGCGACAAGGAAAGAAAGTGTGAGGAACTTCATTTCGAATGTGTTGTTGTGATGGAGTTGAGTGTTTTGAGTAATTGTATTGAACAGGTGAGATGAGTGTGTTGATCGTCGCTTGGCTTGCTTCGAATCTCTACTCGTGAAATTGAACATATCGTAGTCGTCTTATGTGTTTCCGGGTGCAGCAGGATTAGATCTGATTCCCAGCCATGCGGCGTCTCCGGAAACCTCGTGAACAGTGTTTGCTGCAAATAGAACGGTCCGTCAAAAGCCTGTCTTGCTCAAGTGCCGTGTTAGTCGCCAGCCTCTCAGGGCTAAATGCACGATAGTTCAAATCTCACCCACGCGAAAGTCACCAACAGCATGTGTATGCGCATACACAGGTTATATTGCTAGTGCATTGGAGGTTCTAAATATCTAGCTAATTCAACTGCTAACCGGCTTTATGAAGCTATAGGCTCTGTGTATTGCTGTGATGGTAACATAATTGTGTGAAGCCAATCTTGCGGTGGAGAGCAGCAATATCGCTTCAACTTTCACATGACCAAGATAGAACTGGCGCTTGTTGAACTAAGTAGCGTGCGGCTGAAGGGCCTAGAACGCCGTGGTGGCTATCCGAGGAAGCGATCCTTTGTTCTACGAAAACGGCATCGTGGCGCGTCCTGCGGCTAGGATACTTGAATGAGGAAAAGAAGAAGACAAAAAATGAGAGAAACTGCCTTTCCATAGGATACTTAGGTCGTTGGGAACCCTTATGTATAAGCCCTGATGGTTTATCCTGAAAGATCTTGCTCTCAAGTGACAAGAGACCCGTTCGGGATCTTTATAGGGTGAAATAACACTGATAAGTTCGGTCAATGCTTGGATCAAAGTGAAGTATAAACTCTCAATGGGCTTAGTGCTGGACATATGCACCTTCATTGTTTTCGATGTAGAAAGTTCTTCCTCAAGGTGTTGGATATTTTAGTTTTCTTACCTCACCATTTCTGCTGCTTGAAGACTTTTATTCTCTATCCCTCAAGGTGACCGTAAGGATGAGACACAACATAAATCACTCGACACAACAAGAGATTATGCGGCACGTGAATATACGAGCCACTTCTCCATTCTACAGCCTCAATAATGATTTACTGAATGACTACGGAACCTTTGTTGCTCAATGTGACCAAAGCCCTTCATTCAAATCTTTGCTGGTCAAGTTCCCTCTTCGACCATGGTACTTGAGCTCAAGTCAGCGACAATGTCAACACATTGGCCCAGTACGTCCTGAAGCGACGCCTGATCCAGTCTGCCATCAGTACGCGTATAGTCATGCTGAAGATTCTGGAAGAGATCTCTGAAACGAACATGCAAGCGTAACACCTCGGAAACGTAACGGAAGCGGTTTTCAGACTCATTCTTCAGCTCATCCCGAGAGCCAGGACCAGTAATCAGAAGGCCGTTCAACGTCTTGATTTGGTCGTCCATCTTGTGAATAGTCTTTTCGAGCGTGGAGCTAAATTCAAATTGTTGGCACTTCCAAGCAGCGCATGGCCTGAAAATGTCGCGGAAAATGTTCTCCAAATCTGTTTCTATCCCGGGTTTGTGGCTGTGACGAATTAGGCAGGGATGAAAACCGTACACGACCCATATTTTGCCATCATCGGTTGATACAGCCTGTCCACTTCGAGCGCCGGGGACGTTTGAGCAGAGGCGTCTTGCTAAGTCGTTTCGCGCAAACTGTGTACGACACTGACACGAAAGGATGACGGCTGGTTTGAGAATTGATATCATCCGTTCCGCTAAGTCGTAAGCTGCTTCTGTAGCTTCATCCCTGCGCTCTTCGGTCATGGCCTGCAAGTCCTTGTCGCTAAAGAGTCCGCGTATGTCCATGATGGAAACCTGGCGAAGAGACAAGCCAATCATTCCTAACTGGCTAGCTACCCATTTGATAGTATAACACTTCGACATCTCGCTGAACGAAGAATGATGATCAGGGGAGGGACTGTGCAGGAGCAGCAGGGGCAAGTTGGAACATCCACAGAGAAGTTGCTCAAAGTTTGTCCACGCGTTGTCTTCGATGTCCCATTGAAGTGCAAACTGCCGAGCTGGCTCGAAGACCGGGTGGTCTTTGGTGATGTGTGCATCCACGCTTTTGTTGAGACGGGGGATCGGGACGTTCTTAACGACCCATCTTCGCTCTCGCGGTATTGCGTCATGTAGACTTCTAGCGGAGGAGCTGAGAGATAAGGCTTCGATAGATTCGATGAGGCTGTTGGAAATGCTGGCTATGGAGGAGACGGTGAGAAATCGGTAGTTATGCGAAGGACAGGGATCACAGCCATACCACTAATCTTGTTGTTGGAACGCGTTCGTTGTACCTCTTCACACAATGAAGGTCGTATTGGGATACGATGTAATTGAGAATAAACAGCGGGCTAAGAATATGCGACTATACAGAAAACAGTTCATCTGACCTGGAGCGGACGATGTAAACAGGGGCTTTGTAGAACGCTTGAGGCATCGAGTTTAAGGTGATAGCCACAATAGGCGAAATTAACAAAAGCAGCCGCCCGAAGCTTAATGCTATCGCTGCAGCACGGAAACCAGATGGAACTGTTTTCCGTCCACATCAAATACAGGAATCCCTTAGACTTTTAACGAGAAAGACTTCACCAAAACATCCATAGAAACGCTTCCGTGTGGAGTAGTGTGATAGCGGGTACGCATGCAGACGGAACTGAAGCGCAAGTCGGCAGCTCAGTAGTGCAATGACGTGGTCATACTGAAACTATTCACATCGTCAATGTCCCCCTGGTGATTGACACAACAAACGAACCAGGACACCCCAGTCGCTGATGAAGTCAAACGTACTGGGAATTAGGTTGGAAGTTTCTGCCACCATTCAGCGGGACTGATCTTTTCGAAAAAGACTCGTTGTATTTCGTCTCAATTCTGGCGTCACTCCGATAAGCTCTCATTGACATATCAAACTTCAACAACAGCCTCGTTTGTTAGGTTAATGAGATAAGGTTGCGAGACTTAATTGGTACTAGATAGTAAACCTTCGCAGGTTTTCACAGACTCCCTAACGACACGGCGGACGAAGGTGTGCCAGGTAGCCTTCCATGGGCCGCAATTACTGAGTCTGTTAGCCTGAAGACATCAGTCTAATGCCAAACCAGCGTTGATACCAAATCGCCGATGACAACCTTTCTCCTGGATCCCATATAGTGTCCTTCTCATAACGTTGAAGGGATCAGTTGATTTGCCGCTGTAGTCCGTGATGTACGAAGTAAGCTATGGTTGAGGATTTGAAAGTTCAAGCAGACCAGACGAAAGCAACTCCTACCTGCATGGGAAAATTCAAGCCGGATCTGCAACCTAAACATGAAGGGAAGCTCCCAAGAAGCCGATTCGTTGGAAGTTCGTTGAAGTCGTCCCTAACTTCCACTAGTAAAGTCGTCTGAAGTTAAGAAGCCCTTGAGCAGGTAGACTACATGTATGGTCCCTCAGCTGAGTAATCTCAATTCACCAGATGCGTAAAGTAGTGGCTCACAACTCAATCACACTTGAATTGGTTTTTCTTTCCCCTAAGTTTAGCTAACGTTTTGTCTTCAGCCCAATGTTGGGCACGCTAAAGTCTAGGAACAGCTCCCATGAGGCAGATCATGTGAAATCCATGGAAGACACTTATTTGCCGAGGTAGTGTCTTGCTTTCACGGTACGTCCAGACTTCATGGCAAGATATGCTGTCTCACCAAGACGGTGCAACTGCTCGTGGCTGGCAGTGTCATACATACAGGTAAGGATCCCGTGGAATTTGTAACTTTTACTTCACCTGACCCGGAGATGTGGGGTGTCATCACTGCATTGCCGATACGGCGGTTGAAGTGGTGACATGTGAAGATCAAGTGTCTTTTTCTAACGCATCTTCCTCATGTCAAAAGTTCGTCGGGTCTCCTCTACACGGATTGTCTGTTCTCGGTCATGGAGATTGTTGGTTGGCGTTGTTGATTATATGGAAAATACAGGTGTGTATCCGAAGTCCACTCATTCGTGATTGTCACTAAATATTCATGTCAACCAGAAGATCTACTTGAATTTTGTCGCCGGGAAGAAGCTGGCTTCGCGGCTGTATCTCCTGGCGAACAAGGCTTTGACCTTAGCGCCCACCAAAATCTAGCACTGCCTGCGGAATTCGCTGCACAGCCAGCAATTATGGCTGCAAACCTCGCGACGGCGGATTCTTACGCTTCTTCGAATGGCTCGTCTTGCCAATGGGAGGGATCTGACTCCAACGATGCGTCGTCAGCTCTTTAGAGTGACTATTCGTACGGAGACCAGAGCACACCTCAGGCACAAGATTATGCTCACTTGAACGAGTCCACGAGCATTTCGCTGTCGCATCACTATCTCGGAATTGTCTATCCAGAGGTTCCAAATTTGTTACCGCTCACTGTAAATCTGGCCCCTTGTATCATGTTTGAGGAGGTTCAAATGCCGTTCATTAAGAAAAGCAAAGGGTATCGCAAAGGGTTTTATTACTGCACATGGGTGAAGTGCACGAAACGATTTTCAAGCCCAGGCGATAGAAAGTAGGTTTTGCGCGCGCCTATCAAGTGGTATCGTTTGTTTTGGACCTATCTGACAGACACAGGAAACACTTTCGAACCCATATTCGGCCGGTGATGTGTCCCATATGTAATTTCCAGTCCGCATGGCAGCGAGACATGACGAGACACTACAATAATCACTTCAACCGCCCTAGATACTTTTGCAGCTGTTTGGAATCTTTCACCAGGAATGATAACTTGGAAAGGCACATTAAGAATAAAACACAAAAGTAGGGACAGTGATCAGGGTGCAGGTCTGGGTTGCAGGGTTATGGTAGTTCTGCTTGGTGATTTTGTGATTTCTTGTTCGTGTTCGTGCAGGATACAAATGCTGCTGTCGTTCAGGATCAGCATTCGTAAAAAAACCAGAAAATCAAGAAGAAAGGAAGAAAAGGCAGGAGAAAACCGAAAATACAACCACACTCGTTTACCAAAGTTTTACAATTTGGCGCCTTGATCCAATTCGTCTTCGTCTTCGTCATCGCCATCATCGTCTTGCAGGAAAACCTCCTCGACTGCCGCGGTGTCAGCGGGATCGTAGTTTGTGACTGTGCTGATCAGTTGGGCCCAGCGGGCATGAGAGAAGTAGACTCACACTGCGCAGCAGCATCACCGTCGTTCGTGTCGTCAAAAACGACAACTCCATCCTCCGCCTCCTCATTTTGCCCCACCGCCTCGTCCGTCTCCTTGGACTCCTCCACCTCTGGCTCCTTTTCCTCAAACCCCTCATCCCATTCCCCGTCAGTCATATCACCGACATCAGCTAACGAAGCAGTGATCTGGGTCAAGGAGTCTGGGTGGTTCATGCTCGAAGCTTGAAGCTCCGATATCTGGCGAAGAACCAAGTCTTTCAGATCTTTGATGACAGAACTCATCATGCTCTGCTGTTCCAACCATCTAGGACTTTTGGCACCCTCGGACAGACCAATAAGTCCCCAGTTGGGAAATGCCCTCTTGTGGGTGCCTAGCAGATGGAAGCCTGCGGGGTGGTATTTAAAGTAGAGCTCGCAGCAGATGCACGCAAATTTGCTGCAAGCAATGTGCTGATCCTTGGCGATAAACTTGCGGCCTTGGTCATAGAAGTGGTGCAACATCTGAATCTCTGCATGAACACAAAGCCTGAGCCCCCCTGGTTGGAACCTGTGATCCAGCTTATTCTGAATATGAACAGATGCATCCATGTGGGAGAGAAAACCCAGATACGGTTCATAACGCCTATCGTTGGCGGGTAACAAGCGCCTGAGAACACCTCGAAGGGTCATGTGGGCATCGGCCTCTGGGACTGTTGCACTCGGAGGTCTTTGCACGCGTTCAACTTCATATCGATTTTGCCAAATCGTCTGCAGGCGATTTGCATCGTCGAGAAGCTGGTCCACGGCACGAATGTGAGCAGCCAACCGTCCAACGAAATGTCTGACGGTGCGAAAAGATTGTGCGATGGGGCCCGGATGCGTGTCGTGGTCGTCGTCTTGAGCGTAGAACTGAACGAGGCTCATTTCCTCGTCATGACGTACTTGGTAAGCACGCTGGCACACATCCAAACTCTGTAGCCCAGTGAAATCGAGATGTTGCAACCATACGATGAGATTCTCAGCTACCGTTAGTTAGCAGGTTGTCATAACGAGTAGTTCTATGCCTAGGCGTACCTTGGGCGTTCATGTCATTGAGATGTTCGATACATCTCATTGCAGCGTTGCGCAAAATTCTGGCTTCCTTCCTGATTCTCGGCGACGCGAACTCCGTAGTTAAGACACGAAATGTCTCCCTATCAACATTTTGATCATTCTGTTGATCGATGGCATTCCCAAGCTCATCGAGTATGTTGCGGAGAAACTCCGTCACATTGTTTCGGACTCCCTCATTCGACGAAACCCAAAAAATGCATGCGTCGTCGCGTTCTTCCACAGCTATAGCAGTCGTACTGTCTCCGCCTTTGTCGTAGTCGCAGATGAAGCACAGGTTCTTCAGAAACCGCCTGCGAGCATCTTGAAGGCTCAAGTTGTTGATAGACGAGACAACATGATGGCCGCTCACAGGCAGTAAGATTGAGAGTAGAATGAGAGCTTCATAGAAGCGATAAACAAGTCTGACGTACGGATCCAATCGCGGAGTAAGAGCCATTGCAGTGGAGCGGTTGTGAAATAATATTGAGCTTATCGAGTTGTTCAGCCTGCTGTGTGCGAGATAGATTGCCTCAACGTCGTACTCGATACTCTAGGCACATGTGCCAGGGCTTAAATAAGCCATTCCTTCAGGGAGACGAAGGTGACGGCTTGCAGTCTACAAGCAGTCTCCTTCGTCCCCAAAACCTGGGTGATCTCCGGATGACCACTCGCGCTCGATGAATGGTGTCGGTGTGCAGGATCTGTCAGCAGGAGGCCCGCCCGCGTTTCGGTGAAGCTTGAGGTCCAGATAGTGGATATCAGGAGCGAAGATAAGATGCAGGTGTATCAGTCAATTGATCCAGGAACTGGTGCGTTCGGCTTTTCTCCTCCATAGCCGAAAGCTTAATGTGAGTCGCCCGTGTACGCCGCATCAGATTGTTTCGATAATAAAATTTTATTCGTAATGGGTACTTGACAAGCATTTTGAGATAGGGTGTCGGGGCCGGAAAGTTCAATCTGTAGGTAGTCCTGAAGTATGTATGTACCATCCAAAGTCGCCCATTTCACAGCACCACCTCCCTTGAAAGTCTCAAAGCTAAGATAACATGAGAAAACACCCATGAGCCCAATGCAATGGCCAGAAACCTTGTCAACGTCCTGGCACTTGCGTGACGTATGTCTTATGCCTCATAGAGGTTTCAAGCAGGCGTAAAACAATACAACAACAACAACAATTACGTGAGGTAGTTGCTAGAATATTACGCCATTTGGTTCCGTTCCAGCCCTCAGTGCGCTCATCTCACTCTTGAAATGATCGCCTTCGCGTCGACATAATTGCATACCAAATTCATACTTGGCCTCGTTCCAAGCTTCCATTTGACCTGAAATTAAGTGACATATTATGAAGTACTCATATTTTGCTTCAGAGGATGAACGATGTCCGCATTTCTGATCGAAAATGTAGGATATACAATGTAGGAGTGACTTCTCTGCATCAAATAATTTTATGAGGCCTTGTCACCTCAATAACCTGCTCTGCGGAATGCTTCATCCAATTTCAACTCAAGTACCTGTCGCTGCTCCTGGACCCTGGCCGTAAGACGAGCGTTCTCTTCTTCGTCGGCCTTCCTCTTCTCGGAGGCATCACCTCCGTTGATAATTTCGACCTCGTCAGCAATCATGTCTTCCGCCTCCGAGGCTGATTTCAAGGCTCTGGGAGCCATCCTCATGCTCGCCATAGTCATCGATGCGGAAGATCCGGATATGCTCGGAAGGAAGCCCGGAGCAACATACTTCTTCGACTTCCCAGCCGAGGAGATCAACGTCGACAAGATGGCGGCACTCATATCCAGGACATTGTCTGCTTTGAACGAGTCGGGATCATTGAGGAGCTGTAGACCTATGCCAAAGGCCACGGACAAGAGGGGTCCAGCGCCGGGAATGAAACCCAGGCCAAGTTGAATCACGTGCGTGACCAGGTCGAGGATGAAAGAAGAAAATTTGTAGGGACGCCAGCCGACTTCAACGCCGAAGGTTGCGCTGATGACGTTAGCGAGGTCGATCTCGCGGTGAAAGCCTTCCGCCGCTACGTAGTCGCTGGACTTCCAGTCGAAGCCCGACCATGCGACAAGAAACAGCGCATCAGTCTTCGTCTTGGCATTGTAGACTCCGTATTCAGGATTCCGAACCTTGTGGGGGATCGTCAGATAGGTCACAAGGTCTGGGACTTTGAAAAGCCACGTTAGACCTTGGTCAAGGCCAAGGCCAGATTCGCGAGTGGACTGGTAGGTCCGAGGCTCCCCAACGGTATTGAAGCAGTTGATGCTTTCGCGTGCCTTGAAGTCGATGACTACGTACGTGCAGTACTGTTTGTAAGCCTCGTCGGTCTGCTGGCAGACCGGGAAGTAGATGGCTCGGAGTGGGATCGTGGCACTGGAGTATGTTAGTCTTGAAAGAGTCTCGTTCAGCTATAGGTGGGTTGATTACTCAATCCAGAGCCACTGGGTGTCCTTGTTGCGAATTTTGACTGGACGAAGAATGTATTTTCGTGGTCCGCCTCTGTCGCGGTCTCGCATCTCGTTCCAGTTCAAGCTGTTGGGATGGCTGGTTATGGCCAGCATACTGTTTGGATCTGTGGTCTTGCTTTCACCAACGTAGAACCTATCCCATTGGACAAACCTAGTACCGTACAAGTTGGCATAGCCGCCCTTGGCTGTAGATCGTGTGTGCGATGGCGAGTAGGAAGGGCCGCTCCCAATCCAGCCGTTCCACTGCATAAAGAACTTTAGCCTCTGATCGTTAAAGCCAGACTCTGTAGGGCCGTTTACCTGGTATTCTAGAAGAACATGGCTGTAGAACTGCTCCTCGTTGTCTGCAGACCAGTTACCTCCGTACTTGAGGGAGGATCGGACAAAGAAGCATTCGCCTTCAGGATAGTAGGAGGCCATGATAATGGATGGTATTCAAGGATTGGTTGAAGAGTAATGGGAAGCTAGCTTGCGAGGGTGAGATTTTTCGTGCTCGAGACTCAGGGTGATAAGCAAGAGAAGACGAAATAAAGTTGCAGAGGCACGAAAGGGGTATTTATATCACAAGAATCTCAAACCCACTGCTACCTGTTCTTTTTTTAACGTAAAGACAGTTGGGCTCGAGTGCAGCTCTAAGCTAGTACCGCTAGAAATGCATAGACAGTACAAGAAGTTGGAAGGCGGATACGGACGTCCTGATGCAAAGCTGCTGGCCTCATTGTTAGGCTGTGTTTGGACAGAAAGCCTCTAGGTGCAGAGAAGTCGTACATCACCAGAATGCCAACCACCCAAGCGAGTCAGGTCATGAACGTGTATTGCACAGATCGGATCAATATCCGATGGGCAGGGAGCGGGTAGATCGTGACGGGCCGCGCCGCCGTGGAGCACGGCAAGTTACACATCGAGCGGGGCTGATGTGACAACATTCAGTTATGACTGGTAAACGGATGCTTCTTACAATCTGGAAGCTACGATCTGCATCTTGCATCCCCATTGCAGAGCGACGTCGCAGTACATCAAATCGGTCAAACATTATGCAACATTGGTCAATAGCAACCGAATCAAGCGGCGTGCATCACACTGTTCCGCCAACCATCCATCATGAGGCGACTGCGGTGGAAGCGGGATTGAAGACTGTCCATTGCAGATGCCCTTCTTGCCGGTGCATATACGACTGCATGTCTAAGATATATCTGGTCTAGCTTGACGCGCCGCTCTATCTTGATTCATGCGTCCATAGTAAACTGGTATGCATGCCTCGATCTTCACGGCGAGATCGCTAAAAGCTCCCAAAATTCTCAGTGACCCATGCCCGGAATCACTACATCTCCATACCACCTACTTCCCACCTGTTAATCAGCAAATGCAACATGCCGCGCAATACAATGCAGTCACCCTTATAATCTGGTCATTGATATCTCGCCATACCCAACGAGTACACATTTAACATTCAGCACATGATTCAAGAAGCCTATATGTATGATTTTACTTAGGCGTCGATGAATAACCACGACGCTCTGTACACGTATTCTCAAAAGGACCATCTCAGCATCAGCAACAGCATATCATATTCAAGTGGCCTAACTAGTCAAACCTGGGGGCAATATTTATGGAATTTCAATTGTCGAACATTTGAGGCGCTAAGCGACCCAGCTCTGTTGCTGAAAGGCAGTACAACACACGCAGAACGTCCATGCATTCGTCTTCACTCATCATTTTGTTTCAGATCTATTTGAGAATCTTTCTGGTTCTCCAACTCTGTGGAAAAAAACGGCTACAGGTTGATTTCAAAATGCCTGCCTGCCACATCTTCGACGTTCTTGCGGGCGTCCAACGGCAGCTGCACAGGAACGAACCAGCCAGGTGGGGCCGCGACGCCGGGGACATCGAGACCCTCGGAGCCCCGATCAGGGCCCGGGTGCGGACGAAGTCACGGGACGTCAATGCCTACGTATGTCTGAAAACGATGGTTTTATGTCACTATCAAAAGATGTATAATGAGGAAACGCCGTCCTAAGTCGGTAACAGGAACATTGAATTATCAAGGCTGCCACTCAGTTGAGGACTTGAGAAGGAAGGAAACAGTGGGTCTGCTGTGCCGCATTGCAGCCTGAACTGCATGATATGGCCCGGTCCCCTCGTTTTGATTTATCATCAAGTCACTGGATCCAATCTTCCTGATCGTCTGTCAATCCAGTTACAAGTCCCAATCATTGTTTCGGTAGTGTTCTGATGGGTCTGATTCAGAATGTCCGTCTCCAAACCCCTCGCGACAGACGTCACCAACGCCCCGGCTTGTCCCCTCGAATCTCTACCGAACGACGCCCTGGCAGCAATCCTATCAGAATGCGCTTCTTTCGAGGACTTGTACGCATTCATAAGAGCTTCACCCGCCGCATTCATCTGCTTTCAAGCCACAAAACGGAGTCTTTTCATCTCGATTCTCTCAGGTCTTCTGGGGCCGGGCATTCGAGACGCTGTCGCCGTTGCTGTCACTACATCACTTGACCGCGATCAGGAAGGATTCGAAGAGAACGTCTCCGACGCCATCGACCAATATCTGAATCTGCCCGCCGGTGTAGCCTCCACCAAAGGCTTGGAGTTGTACAACGTAACCTATCTGGTCAACTTCAACCGTACAGTTCAGTTTTGGGTCAACGAGTACTTCAGTCTTCGAGCGAACGTCTTCAAGGAGCACTGCAAAGACACGATTAAGCCTCTCAGTCGCTCAGAGCGACATCGCCTGGCGCAGGCCTTTGTTCGCTATCAGCTTTTCATGCGTCTGGACCCCGAGGCACTGCTGGATCGCCCCAATGGACGACCTCTGCTTCGAAGGTTGATGGCACAGTATGAAACATGGGAATTACACCAGGTGGATGTAGTCGTTGAGCTTTTCAAGGAGGTCGTCAAGCATTCAACTGAAATCCCGTACAGAAAGCCGAAATTCCGAGGGGGATCAGCACTTTCTGCCGGCCGATTCTTGGAATGGCGACGGCAGAGAGACCAGATGCGTGCCGGCTACTTGCGTGATATCGCGATACTACGTCATCAGGAGATGGGTTATCAGGACACGGCGATTAGAGAGCACGAGCGCGACTCGGGAGACTGGCGAAGCGTGGAACGAGGCAACGTGTGGGATCAACGTGGCACAATTCCTCGCTTCGACCGCTCATATCTATACATAAATTACGTTGAACGTTCGCATCCAGGGATCTGCTGGGGTGATTTTGGTTCTGGCTTCGCTGAGCACCCTTCAGTCGCTGATTCACCGCCGGGATGGGTAGATGCGGTGGATGAGTCCAATGGGCACATATGCTGGGGAAGGAACAGTTCTTATGACGAGAGGGAATGTAATGGTCTGTTGCCTCGAGACACTGGTCGAACTGTACTCCCTTTCTTCCGATGGCGACTGCTTGGGTTCATGTTTTGGGACATGGACCGTGTATTGCAGGTCAAAGAAGCAATAATGCACAAATACTAGAGCAATGCGCAAATATGAACACAGAGTTCAACCTGGAGCCGAGTACATAGTTGACGGGACCTCGGATCTGGACCACAGTTGTAGTTATATGATGACACTCATGTCTTGCCTATCCACTAAATAAAGTTGAGCGCGAGAAGACGAGGCAATTCTGACTCAACATCGTGGGTATCAGGTGATTTGTTCCTGGCAGATGAGAGTGGTAGTTTGTCGGTGAATATCAGCGGCATGTAACTGTTGGCCTGCGAATGAGTCAGAATATTCACCTAGACGCCCTTCAGTGATTCACAATTATCAATCATATTCGAAGTTACTCATTCCACACTGAAGATAACATAACAAAGAGGGAAATCCATACTTGCCAGCATCATCAACAACGCGCCTGCAATATCGACCTCTTGAATCTCACAACTACGCATTCTTTTGACACACTAGATACTTCTTGTGTTCCTACTTCAAATTAAAGAATGTGTCAGTTACTAGCTGGGACTGGTAGCTTCCTGTGTGGCCATCTGGATGCGTTCTGGTCATTGGATCAGTGCGACGGGGTGAGGCAGAGAAATCGGGAATGCGCAAGGAACACCACGAATCGAGTTTGGAGAGATGGAGTGTTTGAGACCGAAGGAGTCTGTCGAGATTGCGAGCAAGAGGGCATCCACCCAGGGGATCTTGCCGAGATGGAGGACGCAAGACGGGACCGGAGACGCAGACGGAGAAACCAGATTCGACACGAGATTCGGGCTGCTGGATGGCGCGATTGAGGGGGAATTTGAGAAATGTCCTAGGCCATGAACCCAGATTGCAGATCAATGAGGAAGGTCACTTCCCCCATGCCTACAAGCATTTGGTGCACGCGGGTTGTCTTCCGCCCTACATCGTGAAGTGACGTTTCCGGTGAGGCATCCCACATCGTCTCCATGGTGGGGCATACTTACGCCGCTGCAGCGCTTGCTTTTCGCTTGAACAAATGTGTGGTATGGGAGGGGAAACGGGGCGCCTCCGGCGTGTTCTTGTTTTAACGTCTGACGGGTCACACGTGATTGATGAGTAGGGCGCACAAAGACCTCGGAGTTCAGCGGATCTGACTTCGGTTGGTTGCTGTAACGCAGACCTAGCTCGGAGATCTGGGATATCTGCCTGTGTTTGAGACCGTCTCGCTAAACACAAATGTGACCGACGTAGACTCAGCTCGGATCTTAGGAATTGATGTTGGTGATGCCACAGAATGCCCCGATCGTGTGACCATGAAATGACAATATCCGTAATGAGGCCGTTCGGCTAGTCAACACAGCTCGGCCAGTTGAAGGCAATATCCGCCGGATGTCAAAATGATGGGGTCGTGGAGGTTATCCGCGGTTCATGGCGGCATTCTCGGCGGCCGAGTATGGAAGGTAAGAATCTCTATTGCAGGGTGGCTTGTCTTGGCAAAACAGAATCTTGCAGCGGTGCTTCGGGAGTATGCTGAAGGATCTCGAAAAGTAGGAAAGCCAAGCCTTTTACAAAGACGAATGCCGGATGTTCCTGGACGAATGGGACAGGGGTGACAGGATTCAGGAACCGAGCCTAGGTCAGTCTCCCAAAAGTTCCCCTATGCCACCATCACGAGGAGTTGAATCGCCATCGCCGCCGAGATGATGGAAGTAACCTTCCAGAAGCGTTCTTCTGTCGGTGGTGCTACCTCGTACGCATGCACGTTAGAGCCTCACCTTGATGGTCACCTCCTTCTTTGAGTATAGTTGTGCGTCTTGGAGCCTAAAGCCAGAGCTGAAGCGAAGTCCGCCTAACCGTTCCAGCTCGTGAAATATCAGAAACATACTATATCCAACGACATTCGGTGTCATAAAACTTGTGCGACTTGACTATTGCGGCATGTGTCCCGCCATTGCCGCTGGAACTATCGAAAAGCTGCAGTCGGCTAACCAGTCCGTCCAGATTTCAATCATCACTGGATTGTGGCTGTACTCCAGCTGGATGCCACTGAGGTAAATAGGCACGGAATATGGACAGTCTGCAGGCCTCCATCTACTTGAATGTCACAATGCCAACTGCCTACCTCAGCTACAACGAGTGAGACGGCTGTTCGCTCCATTCCGAGCAGCCTCAAAGTAGCAGCGTGGGCCTCTCGGAAATGCCTCCGAGACGACAGGGGTACTAGAAAGGATCTTTGGTTAACTAAGAAGCGCACGTTGGACACCGAGACTCAACCGACGTGGCGCCCGCCTTCAAAGACTGGACTCGGCGGCTTTCCCAAACTGCGAAGCAGAGCGTTTCGGGAGGTACGATGAGAAAATAAGTGACGAAGTGAGCTGGTTTGAGCTAGAAATCTGGGAACTGAGCATTGGAGCCTCTCGGCAGCCCGAAATGAGGAGAAAGTAACGTCGATTTCCATCGTCCGCGTTGTTTGAGGAAGGAAGTTGGCGACAATCCGGATTGGCTACCGATGCCCCATACCTTCTGCATGTGTGATTGGACACTTTTAGCTCGTGTCAGCTTCGGTAAAGCACGTGGGACCCACTACCTTATCACGTTATCGGAGCTATCGGTGAAGCTCAGACCACATATTGCTCCGCTCGAGACCCCGCGCCCCCACTTGCCGACGGGAACTGAGGGAAGTGGATCCCGAGCGAGGTAAGCTCATCGACCAGGTTCATTATCTCATATCAACCTTATCAGGGATTATCTTGATTTGCATGTGCTTTGAGCGAACCTGGCTGTAATTTCAAAAGTTTCCGAGCGGGATGTTTGTGGCTGGAAATTGTGTCCAGTGACGAACCCCAATCCCGGAGGTCTGGAGAGTGTGGCCACAAGCTTCGAACCAAACAAATGTGAGTACAGCATGTCTCGGCAACCCTATTCAGCGACAAACAGGACGGAGTGGCTGCTGACTGCGTACAGATGTTAAACCGTCCAGGATCTAAGCCAGGAACCAGGGGTCTTTCATTGATGGCAGCCACTGAATAACAAGCTTGATTGGCCGCCCATTGCGCCGAGATATTGTCAAATACTATCGTCTGTAGTTTGCCTGATAATCGCCTTGACGTAACTACTAACCGCTGTCCCTCAGAGGATTTGCCTAGAATTGCTCTAGACCAATCGGCTTATCATAATTAGTGGCGGGGTGGAAACTGAACAGAAGGAAGGAACTCGCGACCCCCAACTACGCCGATGCATGCCCCGTCAAGGATCTACCATACTGCTTCCTTTTTCTCCTCTCCGCATGAGCTCAACAGTTCATCCGTTCCAACCACCTGAACAATCATCACCAACGATTGCTTGTTTGCGTATGCTTGCAGATGACCACCAAGGGCCTTTCGAGAAGTCGACAACACATGAGCAAGAATCAAGAATGATGGCCGGCAGGCAGTCTTATCTGCATGGTCTTGCGTCACATTATTACGAAATAATTTACATCAATAGACGATGCCAGGTAGTCTATCAGACCAGGGCTTTACCGCCGGAGACCGAAATCCCAAGCCTTTGAGGCCCGACCAACATGCAACCTTCCCCACGCGATTCTGCATCCCAGAGTACCTGCCAGCTTGTGTAGTATTGAGCTTCACTCATATGCAGTAGCCATTGCGACTCATTCGCCATTTTTTGCCTAACCTTCATCATCGTCCATGAAGTCCAGCCCATTTGCGAATGGCCCCCAGTACCCCAGAACACAACATTCCACTCCGATCGCCTACTGTCACCCGGCGCGGCTCATCTCCAAATGAGGAAGGCGAGATATCTCACCTGGGGTTACATCGTCTCAAAGCTCAAGGATCAATCCCCGCTGCGACCAACCACATCTGTCTACCAGCTGCAATCTCGTGTGCGATTCACGCCGAAGACCAGAAATGAGTGCCCGAACGTCGTCCGACAAGGACTCAAGGCCTGGGCAGAGCAAGATCTGGCAGGGGTCTCTGGGGGCCCAGTGATTAGGACCTTGACGTCCTGGTAGTTGCTTATTTACGCTATCTGCTGAATCTCAATCATACCATTTGCTGTCATAACCCCATGTTTCCTTTCACAGTGAAAGAGGGTCTTCGGTTTTTGACCAACCAACAGGGGCTAGAGATAGAGCAGTCACTCGACAGATCTTGTATTTTATGCATACTCCAGCCTTGGCAGTGCCGTTCCGCCCACGGCACTGGTCGTTGAGGTGGATTGCCAATGACCCAAGGTGTCTTGCGCCATCATCATTGGTAGACTTGGTTTCCATCATCTCCCATTGAGCCCCTTTGACTGGCCGAATTCCAGCTTGATAGCTCTATCAACTGCCGATGCCGTCGTTACAAGAATGCGGCGAAAACCCTACCGCCAACTTCCCGTGGTCTATGGGGAGTTCGAGATTTTGGTCTTTTGCTGGAACCTCCCGATGGGTTACATTTTTCATATAATGAACTTGAGCTTGTTTTCCGTCCCTCACGCGTCCTCGGGTCCCGATGCAACTCGGTCCCTGCAAGCATCCATGTGATGGCACAACTCTCTGAGCCGCCAGCAAGCCTCGTCTGCTGCCTGACCTCGACCTCGCGCGCGGCCATCTGATAGCTCTGTTGCATTGCCAAGTCCGACCTACATGTCCTCTTCCGCCCCAGCCGCTGCATCTCCAACATCATCGTCAATCAACTTCCTCTTTCACGAGTCGTTGTACAAGCTTTTTGAGATGGCCGAGTGATGTCGCCACATGGCGCCATTTGTACTCTCCTTCCCCTTTTTGCATCGTCTTATCGACTGTGTCTCGAACATTGCAACAGACATGGCGTCTTCCGCTGCGAAGTTGTATGTTGTCCATCTTGACTTAGACCCTGCGGCTATGGCTGGAGGCTGACAGGGGTCGCCGATGGTACGTACAGCTTCTCGAAGGAAGCCTCCCAGCATGGCTGTATGCATGGCGGCGCCACACCATCGAAGACGTGGATGACCCAAGCCTCTTGCATGCCAGAAAGATGCGGAAGATGTTCATCTCTACGAAGGCCATATCGACAAAGAAGAAGTATAAATCATCGCCGGGGAACCCACGATATCAGAGCTTTCTTTCTTCACCACGCTCACATCCTCTCTAAGATTCCCAACTCCTCCTTCAGCATCTCGGTCTATCCTCCATCATCATGGTCGGCTTCAAGCGTCTCGCCCTTCTCGCGGCGGCCACCTGCGGCTTCGCTGCCCCCATTGAGCAGCGTGACTACACCGTCCAGACTGTCCCCAACGGCTGGATCGTCACCCTCAAGGAGGGCGTCCAGGCCCGCGACGTCGACAACCACTTGGACTGGGTCAGCCAGCTCGCCGCCCGCAACCTGAACAAGCGCGACTTCAAGGGTATCGAGCGCAACTACTCCTTCAACAAGTTCCACGGTTACGCCGGAAAGTTCGACGATGCCACCATTGAGGAGATCAAGGCCAACCCTGACGTAAGTTCCACCGAACCAAGTCTTCTGTAGACTCACTCTAACATGCAATAGGTCGTTGCCGTTGAGCGTGACCAGATCTGGACCCTCTTCGCCATCGTCACCCAGACCGGTGCTCCCTGGGGCCTGGGAACTATTTCCCACCGCACCTCCGGCTCCACCTCGTATGTCTACGACAACGCCGCCGGCACTGGCACCTACGCCTACGTCGTCGACTCCGGCATCAACACCGCCCACACCAACTTCGGCGGCCGCGCCTCGCTCGGCTACAACGCCGCCGGCGGAGCCCACACCGACACCCTCGGCCACGGCACCCACGTCGCTGGCACCATCGGCTCCACCACCTACGGTGTCGCCAAGCTCACCTCCCTGATCTCCGTCAAGGTCTTCGTCGGCAACTCCGCTTCCACCTCGGTCATTCTCGCCGGTTACAACTGGGCTGTCAACGACATCACCAGCAACAGCCGCCAGGGCAAGTCCGTCATCAACATGTCTCTCGGCGGTCCTTCTTCTACCGCCTGGACCACCGCCATCAACTCCGCCTACAACGCTGGTGTTACCACCGTCGTTGCCGCCGGTAACGAGGCCCAGAACGCCGCCAACGTCTCCCCTGCCAACGCCGCCAACGCCATCACCGTCGGTGCCATCACCAGCTCGTGGGCCATCGCTTCGTACTCGAACTACGGCGCCGTTCTCGACATCTTCGCCCCTGGCTCTTCCATTCTGTCCACCTGGATCGGCTCTACCACGGCGACCAACACCATCTCTGGTACTTCCATGGCTTCTCCCCACGTTGCTGGCCTGGTTAACTACCTCCAGTCCGTCGAGGGCCTGAGCACCCCCGCCTCGATTGTTGCACGCATCAAGGCGCTCGGCACCCCCAGCAAGATCACCGGCACCCTCAACGGCAGCCCCAACCTGATCGCCTACAACGGCAACGGCGCGTAAGCGTATCGGTCCGCTCTAGTCGAGGGTATATAAAAGCAGCGCGAGGCCAACGGATGACGAGAAGACGTTCCGTTGACGACGGCCCCCGCTGTCGAAAGTTTTGCTCGCTCAGCCTCTTTGCACATATGAAGGAGTTAGGATCTTCTCTCATTGGAGATGAGCGAGCGCACCTTTTTCTTTAATGACGGAATGAATGGGTTAAGACTTCATGCCCTTGACTGATTGGTCTTGGGCCCTCTGCATGAGATTTGAGAGAGGTTGCTGGGCTTGTTCATAGGAACAATAAACTTGATGCATCAGATTCGCCTTACGACAAGTGAAAGCCATTGCCAAATGTGACATAATCCGATTTACTGAGATATCGACAAGTCATAAGGATTGAAAGCTGCCAGATCCTAGGGCCAGGAAGTGTAGTTTTCCGGTGATCGGCATTGACCGCTCATCTTGGCGTATATGACTTGCATGTATGTAATTGAGGATCGAGTTCCACTCATGGCGCATTCCTTTGATTCCTTTACAACGCTTAAAAAAGGGGTGGCCATGGTTGATGTGTCCTGGCAATTTTGATCGCCAATCTGATAACGGATAAACTTCCGCAGTAGTATGTAGTCATTTGCCGCTGCGATTATGATGTTTTCGAGTTACTCACAGATGATTTCATACTTGATTGAACCAGTCAACATTCTTTTTTCATATTCTCACTAATGAAAGCCCAATGCAGAAGCATGCGTTTTGAGATTTCAGCGAATTTGAGTTCGAAGAGAAAGTGTCATGCAGAAACATATCGCTGAATCACGTAAAGAATGAATCTAAAAGTCTCCTGCTGTCATATCAATATCTTTGTCGGCAATATTAGGCTATGGATCTTTCCATGAGCGAGTACGAGACATAGGACGCAATAGATTGGGCCAGCTGCATCGGGCTCAAGACTACCGTACGTACATGTATCCTACATGACAAGTCAAAATAGCCAGCTTCAAGTTCAAAGTTTGCCAAAGCGAACTTCCAACAGACTTCCTATGGAGCTCTCCCGGTGCTAGACACGCCGCCTTATGATCCGTCGGCACAAAACAGATCTTTATGAAATTGGTCCGACGCCGATTCCGGCGGAGATGCCCATCCCGACCTCAAGGCATAAATGGTTGGATCCCATGCGGACAAGTACTGGGTCTCGGTATCCCACATTATTTCGGGTCACCGCTTAAGGCCGCTGGAACACCGAATATTTGTAATACGTAGTTCAAGGACGGTAGCCGAATCCTGATTACTGAACACCGAACGGAGCGTCGGACGGAGCCCCTCACGGAGCACTCCGCGTCCGATCCACGTTTTGCCTCGGCTTCTCTAGAGCAGTGCATATTAAACCAGATGTGGTCTACATGTATCATTACGCAGCTTTGAATAGCCTTGGGCTTTCATACTACTTGCCACTAATTGTTGAACTCGGAAAGCCTGCACAGAACTTTCTTTAACAGCATATGCACAATCTACGACGATGGCTGCATCTGGCATCCTGATCGAGGCGGAAGCCTTCGACGATTACGGCGGATGGCTCCTGGATTCCCAATTCGAGACCGAGATGGGTTCACCCTATCTAATTGCCCATGGAAACGGAAAACAAGTAAAGGACGCCAAGACCACCATCCAAATCTCCGAATCTGGTCTCTATAATGTCTGGGTCCGCGCCAAAGACTGGGTTCCCGGGTTTCACCCTGGCCGCTTTGGCCTTTCACTCAACGGCACCTCATTGCAGACAGAATTCGGAGCCAACGATATGGACTGGAATTGGGAGTTTGGTGGTTCCATCCAACTTGGGGCTGGCAGCACAACCCTTGTGTTGCACGATGTCGCCGGCTTCTGCGGGCGGTGTGATGCCATTTTCCTGAGCACAGGAGATACTCCACCGCTGAATGGTGTCGATGAGCCCACGAGAGCTTGGCGTCGAGCCCTGAGGGGTCTTCCAGAGACGCCCGAGAGTGTTGGACGGTTCGATGTCGCCGTGGTTGGAGGAGGTATTCCGGGATGCGTTGCTGCTCTCACGGCCGCACGACTGGGAGAACGCGTTGCCCTCATCCAAGATCGACCTTTCTTGGGCGGAAATGCCAGCATTGAAATTGGACTTAGCCCACGGGGTACTACGGGTCCGGTGGTTCAAGAGGTTTCACGCCGAGGTCCGACGGGTGACTTGGAAGCAGCACAACTCCTCAACGCCAACCCAAATGCCACAGTCTTCTTGGAGCACACTGTATGCGGTGCTGACACTGTTGATGGTACCATAACCTCCATCAAAGCTCGCCATTCCCGAACCGGACGAGAGATCATCGTCTCGGCATCGACCTTCATCGACTGCTCTGGCAAGGCCATCCTTGGTCTATATTCGGGAGCTGAAACTCTGTACGGCCAAGAGCCACGAGCCGCATACGGCGAATCCCTCGCTCCAGAACGGGGTAACAATATGCATCACGGAAACACAGTTTTCTTCAGGACTCGAATGGCAGAGAATCCGGTGCCATTCCCGCCGGTTCCATGGGCTACTCCGGTCGCCGGAGACTTCGCCGATCTCGGTGGCCAGCTCATCAGTCCTGGCTACGAGAACGGGCCTGGTCCTCGTGTTGATCGCGGGGAACATGCCGACGAAAACATTCTTCGTCGGATGAAAATGCCCCTCACTCACTTCTGGGAGTACGGTCAGTGGCTCGATCCGTACACACAGGGCGAGCAGATCCGCGACCATCTCCTGCGCGCCATCTATGGCACGTTTTCCAACGTCAAGACCATGAGGCCTGAAGAGTACGCCAATCTGGAGCTCGAGTGGGTGGCGATGGTGGCAGCTCAGGGCGAGTTCAGGCGTTACAAGGGCGACTATGTCCTCAGCGAGTCGGATATCCGAACCCACAAAGGATTCCCCGACGCCGTTGTACAAAACTCCGGTGCGTTCTGTCTGCACTGGCCGGGTCATAAACGCTACGACTTTCGATTGTCTCACTGGGACTGGGATGAGAGGGATGAAAAACCTTATGACATCCCGTTCCGTTGTTTCTATTCCGTCAACATCAATAATCTGATGATGGCAGGGAAGCATCTGAGTGCGACGCGGGTGTCAATGTCCAACGCCAAGTTCATGGGAAACGGTGGGCAACACGCCGTCGCTACGGCTGTCGCAGCGCATCTTTGCCATAAATATGGCACGAGTCCTCGAGGCATTCACAGCAGTCATCTTGCAGAGCTCAAGGACCTGGTAGCAGGGGTACTGGAAACCGGTAGACCACGGGTTGCAAGTCGACTATGAGTAAATGGATCAATCTTCACTCAGTAACCTCGGTTTTTAGTAAACGCGGAATTTTCAAATTGAAGAAATAGGTCCTAAACTTAATTCAAAATTCATTCCTTGACTCAACGCCGAAAAGGAACATCAACTCCCAAATGAACGCAAGATTTTGACTCAAAAACAACTAAGCAGACTTGGCAAGATCACAACTGGAAATTCCCATCTCTTCAAATCTCCAAGCACGCACCAGCAACAAGTAAACCGAAGGTGAAAGTTCTGAGTGTCTTGATTGTTTTGCGCTTTGGCTAAGACTTCATCACAGTTCCAACAGAATGGGAACTATGGGTGGAAATGGAGCTCCAATAGAGAGGAGGAAATAGGTCACAAATGGACCCACGATGAAGACGAGTAGCACGATCAGCAGTTGAAAGACGAGGGAATTGGGAGATAAAGAAGGACAACCCCCAGAAGAAGAAGGAGAAAAAGAACGAGAGAAGTTTCAGTAAGGAAAGAACTAGGGTTTCTTTAATTCCGACCGGGAACATGTGGGTGACGTCCAACAAAGCAGTGGGTAAATTTCAGTGGCAGCAAGGCGACAAACCGGAATAGTCGTAGAAGGCAATGAACAGCGGTCTTTATATCAGACCGACAGTGTATTATACATGAGAAATATGGAATACTTAAGGAGCTGGGTAGCAATGCAATTTGTATTGCACCGAGATGCTATAAACATATAATACATACCCTGAATATCTGCAAAGGTCGTACATCCCTACTACGATAGAATTTGCCTTATTAAGCCAGCGATTCCACGAATTGTTAGTATCCTACACTTAAAAATACTTGAACACTGGCAAGGGCAAAGTAACACACTAACAGACATTCAGGTGGTGTACTGTGTACAGCCAGTAGGATGAGTGACCAAGAGAGCATAGTGGTGCGGTTGCTTCGTCGAATAGTTGATGCTATTGCTATTGTTATTGTTGTCGTTGTTTTATTGGTCAACGCCCTTCGGTATAGAGCGTCCGCTCCAGCGGTCAGCTAAAGACACATATCTGTGGAGCCTCAGAGAGCAAGGCAGACCAGCTGTATATGAACAAATGGAATGAAGTTGAAGAAAGACGTTTAGCTTTTCTGGCTGTTATTATGCGCCTTCCCGGCTACTAATAAAGCATTAAGTGATCACGGTGACGCTGGGAGTGGGGATCCATAGACGTCAGTAGGCGGTGTGAATCCGGAGAGGGGCAACTGCCGTTTGTGACCTCACTTTCTCTGAAGCCTTTGATGCATCCCCCGAAACCATACCAACTCATCTTATCTCATCTCACATCCCTCATCACCAATCGTCAACGTCACAATGGACCCCAGGGCACGCGACCACTTGTATGGCGGCAAGCCGAACAACATTCAGCTCCAGGAGGAACATGCGAAGTTGCGTACGAAATTCGACCGGTATGGTGAGCAAATTGAGGATCTTTGGTCGAAATTCGACCAGGAAACCCGGAAGAGAATGGTAATCGCAAGCGCCGAAGAGGGAGATTATGTCCTAGCACATTCCGAGGACAATTCGCGCGACCCGTTGCAGAAGATCATTCCCGAGTGGAACCTACGCGACATCACGCAGCCCGGGTCGGAGTACCTAACGGACATGATGTACGAGCGTTCGCAGGCGGACCTCATTGACCAGTACAAACACATCATGGATGGACTTGGAGACAAGGGTTTTATTGAGAAAATGATGGAAGAGCAAAATCTTCGCATCCCGGGGAGATGGGAAGACAAGTACATCGCGTTCATCGACAACGAGCAGTATGGCACGGCCATGCAACTGAAGGATACAAGCCCTATACAGTGGGCAATAAATTTCGGAAACCTCGTTGGGCAAGAGACTGGGGAACTCGTTCTGTTCAGGCAGTTACATCTCATGTATAAACTCAACGACATAGCGGACGCGATCCTGGCAGAGGGCCGAGTCAGGGCCAGCAAACCTGTCCGTCCGCCGGGCGCTCGCCCGCAAGGACCGGTCGACGAAGCGGTCTTCGGTAGGCGACCGACCGGAACTGGGCGCGCGCGCGCCAAGGCGACTCTCGAGCCCAAGCAGAAGGCCAAGGAAGCCCCCGTAAAGCTATCGATTGCGGAACTCAAAGGCGCTGTTCGCGACCAGAAGGTGGCTCACGAGGTGTGCCTCGATCTTTTCGCGTCAGGGCCTGGCGTGCTCGCTAGGACTGCAAGTTTGTGGTTTTCCAACCGCCCGGAGCTCGTGGCTGATGAGAAGGGCCGGGCCCTGCCTCTTCAGGCCGACAAGCACAGCAGCGGCGCCGTCTTGGACTCGGCTCACAACATCGTCAAGGACGTTGCGGTTTGGAATTACATCGATCAACTCGTTGGACAGCTCGAAATTGAGGGACTGGATAAGATCCACCGATCGATCGTTCTCCAAGAACTCTCCAACGTCTGTCACTACGAGTACGCTCGAAAGCAATTTCTTCTCAAGCGCTATCTTACCAAGGGCTCGAAACTCTTCAAGCGTGTGTCCAATGGGCTCGACCCGGTTGGTAACCCCAACATCAAGTTGAAGGGCAAGCCCGCAGAATTCATCAAGACCGATCCCCAGCTTCACATTCTTCTCACGTTGGCCCAGCCAGAGACGACCGCTGCCAAGGCGGTTGATTGGCTGAAGAAACTGGGCGAGATGTATGAGAATATTCCCCTCGAGCGGGAGAAGTTCCCCGAAGAGGTGGTGGATGTGCTGGGCGACGTGGCCATCATCGTCATCTTCATCCAGGATGCTACCCTCGCTACCTCCATGCCGCCTCTCTCGCGCAAAAAGGGCCAGTTCTTCGTATCCCGAGCTCAGGGGCTGGAAGCCGAATTCAACCAAATCAAGAAGGATCTCAACCTGAGCGAGTTCGCTGCCCCCATCGACAAGCTTCGAGAGCCCAGTAACACAGAGGGCGCCTTGAAGGCTCTTGATAGGTTCCTCGCTGAGAAAGCCGGTGCCAAGTTGGGCTTCTTGTACGAAGACCTGGTTCAAGACAGCGTCGCACACCTTGCCAAGCAGCACGAAGAGTCCAAGGCGAAGGGAGAGATGGACTGGACTCCTCTCCCGATCGAGGGTGCCGAGTCCCGAGAGAAATTCGTCGAGGACCGAAAGAAACGGAACGAGAACCGTACTTCTGAAATTTCTTCGTTGGACATCCGCCCTGACGGCCAACGCCCCGCCGCGGAGGAAGTGGCATCCCCGGCGAAGGCTATCCAGGCCATCCCGCGTATTGGCGAGGTCTTCTCGAAGCTTTTGGGGAAGGCGGAGGCTAGTGATCCTGTCAAATGGGAGGATCTTGAAGACGCGATGAGGACGGCTGGGTTCAGACCCATTCCCAAGTACAACGTCTTCACCACTTTCCTCATGTCGGAGGCTGTGTCAAAGCAGCCGTTTGCTGTGAAGCGGCCGTTCAAGTCTATGATTGCGGGCCATACATCTCCCATCTTGGGTGAAAGGTTGAAGAGGGCTTATGGATAGAATGAGGACACATTCGAGGTTGTTTGAAATGGCTATCGGTCTCGTAATCCTCGACTACAATTGATTGATTAAAGGGGTGGAATTGAGGTTCAAGTCCCGGGCCTTTTTTTCAGCTCTCAAACGAGAAGTCCCTGATAACAGTTTGAGAATTCGTCTGCTGAAACCTCCCTCTTCCTTCCTTCCTGTAATATCTCACATTTCCTCTCATCAGCGATCTCCGGCGCCACCTCCGATGCCGTCTCCGATGTGGGGCCGAGTGGCCGAGCGGCTAGCCGGCGGTAACCTCAGCTGTCGCATCCGTTGATGCCTGCCTAGGTAGCCTGCATGGAGGTCGCTGATGTTCTCTTCTCAAATACTGTTCCATCAAAGGTTTAGAAAGTTCAGATCAGGGTCATTATTTGGGCCTTCCCGTTCTGCAGTAGCAGTCGTGACCTGTCTGGCCTGAGGCAAACTTCGCCTGACCTACCTCCCCTTTTGCTGGCGCAGATAGTATTAATAGTTGGCTTTGTCATCTTTTGTTATTGTTTATTCATCTGATGATATTTCGCCCTCATTGCTGTATCTTTTGTGGATGGTTTGTGGGAGGATTGAAATTTTCATTGGACCTGTTCCTGGTCAACAAACGGTAAGCGACCGGCTGCCTGCGTACGTGGTTGGCAATCAATCCCTTTGACGAGTCTGAGGTGAGTTCCTCTTCACTGCTCGCTGTTGAAAAAATTTTCTTTCCCCTTTCTACTTCTACCTATCCCTCCTTCCCACTTGAATTGGCCATCGACTCATCGTCTTCAAGCTCCGTCGTCGCTTGGGGTGTACTCGTGTCAAACCACAACCGACTATCACGGACTACTCTGAGTCCTGACTATACCATGGATTCCCCTAACATGGCCTTGGAGAAGGCTATCGACAAGCTTCAGCTTCATTCGCCGACTGGAAGGCATGCGATTCGGATCACAGATCTCTCGGACGACATCATCCTCTCCATCGTGGAGTTCCTCTGTCACCACTGCATCGCTCGAAAGGAAGACGTTCCCGAAGCCGATGTGGACTCTGCATATCTGACGGCCATCATGAAATTCTCGCAGACGTGCTTTCGCTTTCATCGCCTTGCCAGACCCTACATCTTTCACCACCTCTACTTGAGCTACGACTACCTGGCCATCCGCGACGACTCTTGGGAGGATGATACCAAGCGCGAGAAGTCAATGCTTCGCCTGCTAGCAACTCTTGCCGGTGACCACGCTCGACACGCCGCGGATACGAGCAAACGAAGCCTCTCCGATGGCATTGACGACTTCGCTCGGTCCGTCAAATACCTCGAGGTCAACTTGAGCCCCATTGCCCACAATGACAGCGGCGAGACCGGCAGCTCGGGACTTGCAACTCCTACGACGTGGTGGTACGATTGGCTCCCAACCCTGCTCAACAGACTCGTCAACTTGGAGCACCTTGAAGCTACGATGGAGCGACCCCGCACCAAACGCCACCTCTTCATTTCCAGCCTGGACCGAAACGGTCTCTCACGCTACGAGTCCATCAAGACTCTCACGCTCACCTACCGTGGTGACTGCAACGAATTCATCGGAAACGCCGACCTTCGAGACACGCACATGCTGTTCTACCGATGCCCTAATCTGGAGGTGCTCGAGATTCGGGGTATCGGAGGTATTGGTTGTAGGGTGATGGAAAACATCATGCACGTCAGGGGCAATCTCAAGACCATCCGCCTCATCAACTGCGCCTTGCAGGTACACGACGTCGCCGGCCTGCTGGTCGGCGTGATGGGCCTCGAGACCTTCGTTCTCGGCCGCGGAAAGTTTCGTCGGTTTCAGTGGATGGGCGAATTCCGCGACCTCGTGCCTTCACGCCAGCCTTCGCGCCATCACCCTTCGTGCACTCCATCCACATTGGTGTACTTACTGAGAAGATACGGAAATCAAACCTTGAAGCACCTCGAGCTTCGGCCATTCGAGCTGAAGATGTGGCAATCCTTCTGGTCCCCTAACCCGTCTGGCGGAGCCGACGAAGCCCGCCAAAAGACTCGGGCCGCCGTCATCGACAGTCTCCGCGACTTCACCAAGTTGGAGACTCTGCAGCTGGGACAAGATTCCATTCTCGGCATTCCCAACATGTGGCTGAACACGATGGATGGACCAATGCTTGGGCCAGTGGGTATGTTGGGCCCGGACGGACGGTTCGAAATTGTCCCGGCCGTGTCGCATGTCAAGCGTCACACCACCATCCTGCCCGATCATGGCGGAACCCGACTGCTCGACTTGCTGCCGCGCACCCTCAAGTCGCTCCGAATCACCAACGTCAACCAATACCTCGCAAGCAACCTGCTCAACTTCGCCAATGCGGTCTCGGCCGGGGAGTTCCCGGCCCTCGTGAACGTGTCTCTGCACGGAGAAAACGAGGCCGCAGATCGTCTCCGACACGGCGATCATTTCCGCATCGAATTCCTCCGCGGGATGGAACTGGACTGGCCTTTCCTCGAGAAGAGCGTCCTGGAGAGCATGCAGAGCACGTTGTACCTCGCCGGCGTCCAGTTTTCCTGGGACGCCATGGACAGCAACGAGCCGGTTGGCGGCTGGCCTGGAGACCCGGCGCAGGAGTTCGGATGGGCACCCACTCCGCGTAGGTCGGATGAAGAGCTTGCTTTTTTCAGGTTCAGTAGAGAGCGGTACGAGAAGTTCTGCGACCTGGTGCGAGCCGGCAATGCTTACGGCGCTCCCCCGGGTAATGAGTGGGCTAGCGAGCCGGACACTGACGAGGAGTACATTGACGAGGAGTACACCGATCATGAGGACGCTGACGAGGAGTACACCGATCACGAGGGCACTGATGATGAGGGCCCCGACGATGAGGACGATGGTGATGAGGACAATGAGGATGCTTGCAGCGACAACGAGGATTGTGAGGAGTACGAGTAACGCCAGGTCGACCACTTCGGTAGATTTTTTGACGAGGATCCAAACACCTTGGACTGATTATGTGTTAGTGAAGAGCAGCAGCAGATCGATTAGACGGAAGAAACTCTTTGCGATGCATATCATCTGGAAATACGCAGACACTCGATTCTCAATGTTGAACTATCTAATCCAAGTACCCTGGACTTCCAGTGCTCACGTACGGGATATCGGGAGACAAGAACCAGGAATGCAACGTCTCCTAACTTCCGTGGCCCATCTGCCGAGGCAGGACCGAGAGTTCCAAGGGTCTGGGCTCGTTTTAAATCACCTTCCCCGGACTCGGGCCTGTCAGGAGGCATTCTATGTTGCCTTGGCGGTCACTCGTGGTGGACGGCAAGGGTCACAACGTTACTCCTCGGAGGCTGGACTCCGGGCCCGGCAAGGGATCGGCGACGGAGATTCGTGGAATATGACCCAATTTTTCGCCGCTGTTCGGGGGTGTGATTGACTCCGATATTAAAATATTGGCACTTTCCCCTTCGGCGAGGGTCAGAAACTCTTGATGAAATGAGGTGGGCGGCGTCGAGGAGTTGATGGTTTGGTATGCCGCCCCAGCTCAGGGCAGTGCTATTTAAGATGTCATGTGTTCTGGCCCTCAGGTAATGGAGGTTCTTCTCGGCGCGGCAGTTCAACACTTACGCGAAAATACGACCAACCCAAACATCAAACAGGTTCATTTGTCAGAATGAAGTTCTCGTCGACTCTTCTTGTCACCCTGGCGGCCGTGTCGGCCGAAGCCCACTGTAAGTGACATTCACAAGTAACCATTCAGAACAAATAGTATCCTCAGACACCGACGATGCTCGAAGATAACTAACACGGTCTTATCATAGATACCTTCGGTCGCCTCGTGTACGGTGGCACGACCTACCCCGAGTGGCAGCATGTCCGCAAGACGCTCAACTTCTACTCCAACGGCCCCACCGACGGCGTGTCTTCCACGCAGATCCGGTGCTACGAGGCCGACGCCAAGGACAGGGGCACCGTCACGACCCTTCCCGTGACCGCCGGGTCGACGATCGGGTTCGCCGCCAACGGAGTCGTGGGACACCCCGGACCCGCGAGCTTCTACATGGCGAAGGTGCCGTCGGGCCAGACGGCGGCGACGTGGGACGGTAGCGGGGCCGTGTGGTTCAAGATCTACCACGAAAGGCCGACGATCACCAGCAGTGGACTCGAGTGGGCGTCATTCAGTGAGTTACCTATCCAACTTTCAAACTTATCTACCGGGAATAAGGCTTCTCTTTTCTGGGGCCTGGAGAATGGAGGCGGAGAAGAAGAAAAAATACTTCAGTTTCAAAAGAAAAGGGGCGGTTTTCATCTTTAGTGGGGTGTTCGTGAGTCGTGAGCGGTAGGGCTGAATCAGTTTCCGCATGCTAACGACGCTCGTGTCAAAAAGACACCCAGGTTCTTTCGACCAAGATCCCGTCCTGTCTCGCGAACGGAGAGTACCTCGTCCGAGTCGAGCACCTCGCCCTGCACGGCGCCGCGACCGAAGGCGGAGCCCAGTTCTACGTCGCCTGCGCCCAGGTCTCGCTCTCCGGCGGCGGCAGCACCAAGCCGGCCGGCGTGTCGTTCCCCGGAGCGTACAAGTCGACGGACCCGGGCATCCTCTTCCAGCCGTACTGGCCGACGCCGACCAGCTACACCAACGCGGGCCCCGCTCCGATCAGCTGTTAAGAAAACCAACTCCGCAGCCCGGGTTTCGTTCCGCTATCCGTGGGCGCCGATCAGTTTCGCTAGTGCCTGGCGCTGTGTTACGATTCAAGGTGGCGGCATGTCTGGATGTACCTATCCGATGCCGGTGCGACACAGATAAGGCACCCAGGTTGGACTGGACGCGGGACCAAACCGGATTCTCGGCAAGGCGGACCACTCCCTCCTCGGACCATCACCTCCTGGTCTGGTTCGCCTTTTTTTTTTTTTGGCTGGAGCTGTTGAGGAGGAGTCTGATCGGTGATTTCTGGGAGTGAGAGGATTTCCTTGATTGTGGAGGTCCGCGCGGCCCGCTTAGCGGAAAGAACATGGGATCTGATGTTCGCACGCCACGGGAACAACGACGTGATGTCAGGAAATGCGGGGAATTCTACGTCATTTACGTTCGGACGTGGCGCAAGGGTGCAATTCTTGCGACTGTTCGTGGCTACACTCGCTGCAGATGATGGCCTGTTTGGTAGTTCTTTAACTGAGAATTTGCAACCCGCGTGTTAAGTGGCTATTTCGGTGCAGTCATGTTGAAGTAATCGAAGATCGGCCTCAACGATATTCATGATCGACTTGTGAGTGTACGAGCTAAATTCTAGCTTTGATAAGACGCTGAACACACATCGCGAATAGACGCAGACGAGAACCTTACTTCTCAACTTTCATCTGAAGACATCCTGATAAGAATAATTTCATCCGCGAAGCGACCATTCATCTACTAGACGAACATCTATTGAGCGATAATAAGACAACGGAGATGACGACAATAACGATAGAAGAATCCGGAGCACCATGCTTCCCTCACGAGAGCATGCTCACACCTCCGCCCGAAGAGAAGACCCCGCCTCCCTCCGAAAATAAGCTCTCACCCCCGACCGAGAACAAGCGATCTCACATCCGAAGTCCGCATCGCAAGAGTCCCAGCCCTGGAAGGCGCTACAACGGCGATGGGAAAGGAATCCAGGTCGACATCGGCGCTCGCCTTCGCGAGTACGTCGACTGCCTCAACAACCAGAAATGGGACGTCATCGGCAACCACCTAGCGGACCAACTCCAGCGCAACGGACACCCCCAGACGCGAGAGGAGCACATCGCCCGTCTGAGGTCACGCGTGGAGAATCTCGCCGGCTTCCAGATCAAAATCGACACCATGCTCGTCGACAAGAAGGCCCAAGCCGTCGCGGCTCGCTACGTCAACGTGATGACGGTGGCAGACGCCATGATCGACGTCGACCCCGTCGGCAAGACGACCGAATTCGACGAGCAGTGTTACCTCTGGTTCAATGAGAAGGGCAAGATCTCGAGGATCGTGACGCTGCAGGACAACGACGGCATTCGCGCCCAGAACCCGACCGCGGAGATGACGCCAAAGTTCCTGACGAGGCGGATGCCGGAGGAGCCGATTGACCTGGGATCGCTGTATCGGGCGTACGTGGCCAGCATCAACCACCGCACGATGAGCAGCGAGTTCCCCAGGTTCTGCAGGAAGGAGCTCCGTCACAACAACAGAGCCTTCTCCGTTGAGGATTACTGGCGCAACATCGAATACAGCCAGGACGCAATCCCCGATCTGAAGTTTGAGATCCAGGAGCTGTTGGTGGACGAGGACACCCAGCAGGTGGCGGCGCGATTGGAACTCTCTGGAACGCCGATTTCGGAGTTTGCGGGTATGCGACCGAACGGCAAGCGTATCAAGTTCCACGAGCACTGCATGTACCGCTTCGACAAGGGCAAGATCGCGCTGGTATGGGCCACGATGGAGCTTGATGTGGTTCGTCGGCAACTTGAGGTCAAGACAGATCGTCGGAAGTCGTCGACGCTGGGGATCAACTGAACCCCCTGAAGGCTTCAACACTGTATTATGATACCATTTGGGACTTGGTATGGCTTGTGCGGATATGAAACCCGGGATAGAACAGGGAACAGCGTCACGACTTCGGGTATTTTGAATCTTTCTCCGGTTTATTAGCGGATATGACCACTGTTCTAATGTTCAAGCCGGAGGAGAGGCTATGCGTGTACGATACTTCTTATTACATTGCGTTTAGACTTGTCAAATAGAAGTTGTTCTTGGGCTCTGCAAAAGACAGAACATCAATAATCGCAGAATAACTAATTTACTCTAGAATGAAAGAACGCCTCTCGACTGGAACACCGATTAAGTTGACTTTACCGTGAAAGACTGCTAGGCCAAGCCGCTCGAACCGACCATCGCGAATGTGAACAACCATGAGAATCAGACTGACCGACTTCGGGTTATGATGTCGACTTGGTAGTAGTACGGTCCCGAATCTCTCTCCCATGACCAGCGCAGACATTTTGAAGCTATCCAGCCCGTTCTGTAAAGCATTTCTCCGCTTCTCGTATAACTTCTCATCTCCTCCCAGTGTGCACCGGAATCCGGTGCCAAATTCAGTCCCATCTCCGCGCTTGACCACTACTTGCCAACCCGACTCAGAGTCTGCGACATTATCGATTTCAGATTCCATACCGACTTTGCTCAGGTAAACCTCAACGAAATCTCCCGTGAGGTGAAGACGTTGCAAAGTTGTCGTTTGGTTTGTCGAATCAAGTTCGGTGCAGTAATCTTCCCACCGGATTGTACGGGTTTGAGCTCCTGAAACAGTGACCTCCACGGCGATCTGCAACTGATGCGTATTTGATACGTATCCATCATACTCTGAAGGAGCAGAGATGTGCGCGAGCCAACCTGTCCACGACCAACTTGGGAAGCCCTTTCTTCGAAATTGGGAAGGACTGGGGCCGGCGAATCTTTCAATATCCCAGCATAAACCAGTTATCAGATTCTCCGTGTTACTTGATGCCGCCTTTCCGAGAGTGATGTCCGGGACAACTGGTATGCCGTGCAGATGACGGAACGGTCCATAGATGGACTTGATTCGCTGGAAAACACCCGCGATGCCGTTCAGGGCGTCGCTAGGAAACGACATTTTTCTCTTGCTGTACGCCGCAATCAACTTGAAGCTCTCTTGGTGTGGATGTCGAACTCTGCGAAGAGGCTTAAACAACCTGTTGTCCAGACGTGTCGCATTATATGAGTCATTCCAGTTGATGTTCCATGCAGAGAAGCGGCTTAGGTTTTTGCGGTGCATTATTTCGAGTGGCATGGCATATCTGTGGCATCTCGACACGTCATTCCGCCGCAGGTGAAGAAAACCTGATCTGCACAGAAGACAAGATATCTTCGGGCCAAGAGAGCTTCTTGGAAGGTCCAACCACGGCCGTTCCAGGTTGAGTTCTTTATCGCTTGCAGTGGCTCAGGTGGTACTGAGACGTACGATTGTCCGCTTGGTGTTGTGAAACAACATCGCAAAGCCCTCGGTGTTGAAGGCATTCCGGGCAGTCCTACTGTTGGGCCATCGCCATCCATTGCGGCAACAATAGTAAGTGATGAATGGCCGTATGACAGATCCATCTGATCGATTTGTGCTTGCTTCGCTTTCTTTTCGTCGTTGGTGGTAGCGGACTGTTCAATGCAGAATCTATCAACCCAAAGATACCGAAATCCCATCATGCGGCTTGCTGCAATGGCGTTTTCGATTGTCCTTGGTAAAGGTGCAGTGAGGTCTTCGGATTCGGAGGCCGAGCTAGAGCCCCAGCGATAGCTCAACGTAACGTATGGTTGATTTCCATCCCATTTTACCTTCGATCTTGTTGTGCAGGTCTTTTTCCACATCACCGCTTCCATCTTATCAGGCCGATACGCTGTAAGGGATTTCGACTAGTTAAGATTCTCCCATTTTGAGAACAGTGGAAATAGAGATGATAAAGCTGAACACGACAAAGTTTATCTATTTAACTTCTTTAGTGCTCGTCTGGCATCCTTAAAATAAATATGAAATTCTCAGCTGTGCAGAAAGCAGTTGGTAATGCAAATATTATTCAAGGAACTGACAAACGAGCAGAAGAATCTGGCGACCGTACGTCTACCAGTGTTCCATAACCGGCACCCCGGGAGTCTGCCGCATAGTTGGTGTCTGCTATGTTACACAGCTAACGTTTGCACCACAATATGCAGGCCCATCCTGCGTGCACAGAGAATACACTTGCGGGATCCTGCTGGTAGGAACCCTCGACAAAAGCTCTCCGCTCGCTGAAAATCCCCGTAGAAACTGAGTGCTGCGGAAAAGCCCGCGTTGAGATTTCCTCTGTTTCAACGTGACTATTGAACTAGAGTAATTTGGGTAAATGCGACATAATTGGCCAGACTTCCGTCACTTGACCTTCTGCTTCGGTTCAAGTGCCTCCACTTGATATTGTTTGTGTCCGCGCAGGTGGTCACAATGCATATTTACGTACGCTTCCAGATTTCTCGTCCAGAATCTGAACGGGGAACTTTCTCCGAGAATCCGGCAACCGGGCTTTCATCAAAGCCATTCCATTCGTCTGGCAACGAAGATAGAAAAGTGGCTCTCTGGAACTCGTCACTTATCACCTTGGCGAGGCAGGGTTTTTATTTCAAAGGGGAAGTAGATTCGCCAGCCACCCGGTTGACATGTGTGTCGATGGATCCAACAACACCCCCGTCTCTTGTTCTGAACATGCGTGTATGGATATGTATCATTGCGGCAGCGCCGGATGTTTCTAACCTCCTCGCAATAGACTAGATGGGATGGCTCAAGCTGTTCGATGCTTACCCAAGTCCGGCAATTTACTGGGGAACACGAGTGAGTGTTACTGGCGAATTGGGCAGTTGCAAGATTGTCATTTCGCAAGATGGTACAGAATCCTTCATGGCCATTCCTACACTCGCCCAACTCTCGCGCCTGCTGAACATCCGGAAACTCGCAACTGCATTCTTTTCATGCACAAGCCCCTCTCCAAGCCGGGGTTCTGGCCGTATTTGTGGAGGAAACCGACACCCAGATGGAGCCTCTCTGCGGGAATGGTGACTGTGTAGTGACCGCGACCCATGCAGCCTGATTTCCTGACGTGAGCTCCGTCCCACGTGTGGGCTCATCGACCGGGGGAACAACGCTAGTGTTGGTTGTGTCCTCTTCTCGTCTTCCCCCGTCGTACGTTTTGAATACATTCCTGGAAACTTTTCGTTCCTTCCACTCGAAATTTCCATCTCGCACTCACCTTCATTCTAATTTCACCTTTGGAAAAGATTGAAACATGGCAGGAGACAGAGCTTCGCCGGCTCGTCTGCAGTCGGCGTCGCCCAAATCAGAGAAATCTTCGCCAAGGCGCTTACAGTCGTCGTCTCCCCGAGCGGAGCAGCAGCCCGATGCACCCATTGCAGTTGATGATTCGGAACCTGAAGAAGATGGCTATGAGACCAGCTCCAATCCTGCAACTTCTATTGCCTCCAGCGTTCGTGACTTCAACTTTGAGAACAAGCGACGCTACCACAAGTTCAAGGAGGGCCGGTATCTATTACCAAATGACGATTTGGAACAAGAGCGTGAGGATATGAAGCATGCTTTGGTACTTCACGTGTGCGAAGGAGTTCTTCATAATGCCCCGCTTGAGAACCCCCAGAAAATTCTTGACGTCGGCACTGGAACTGGCATATGGGCTATGGACAGTAAGCACGACATTGGTCCCGCAAGAATCTACAGGTGCTGACATGAATAGTGGGTGACGAATACCCGGAGGCTGAGATCACTGGAATCGATCTGAGTCCGATTCAGCCAGGATATGTACCTCCAAATGTCCACTTTATTGTCGACGACGCCGAGGCAGACTGGATATACACAGAGGGCTCATTTGACTACATTCATGTACGCAACATGTCTGTGGCGGTCAAAGACTGGCCTAAGCTGTTATCTCAGGCGTACAAGTGAGTAAAGCTTCCTAGGTGTTCCTTCGTTCATGGGGACTGGCAGCAGACTTCTGACTGGCGCAGGGCTCTCAAGCCTGGTGGCTGGATTGAATTGCAGGACCTTGTCTGGGACTTTGCATGTGACGACGGTACAGTCGGCCCTGATTATACTCCCAAAAAGACCGTTGAGCTTCTTGACGAAGCCCTAACGAAATTTGGTATGGATCTCAACGCAGGCGAGAAGTTTGGAGGGTGGATTGCCGATGCTGGGTTCGTCAACACTATTCACGACAAGAAAAAGGTTCCGGTTGGCACTTGGCCAAGAGACCCTCACATGAAGGCCATCGGAAACTACTGTCGCGCCGTCAATTACGATTCCCTTGGTGGAATTACGAACGTGCCTTTCACCAAAGGACTGGGTTGGTCGCAGCTGGAGATCGAGGTGTTCTTGATCCAAGTGCGCAAGGACTTGACAAACAACGCGTTCCACCCTTACCATCACTATCATTCGTTTTCTGGCCAAAAGCCTGAGGAGAAGGCTTAAATGCATACAGATAGCAAGTGATATTTATGAATCACGAACAATGAGGTTTCGTAGGATTTGAAATTAGAGGATAGTTGGACGTGCGTTCTTCCTTCTATTACTGAAGTTTGGACCAGGCCACGACGATCTAGCCCAGAAAGGTTGAATTTATTTGCTTCACAGACTGTCAAAGACAACGCTCTTAGCTCTGGAATAGAACAGGAGGTACATTTACGCATTTAAAATGCTTCTCGACAAATAGGAGTACTGAAATGTGATTGGGAGTCGACATGGATTTGTTAAGCGCCGGACAAGGTGCCCGTGGATGACCTGTCAACCCCATGTCCCTGTTCTGCTCTTCCACTAATCTCAATAAATACCCGGCTACAACGCTGCGCTTTCCAGCCGCGCTGGTCTTCTCATTTCATACCCAGCCTCTATCGACCAGGCCTTCGCGACATGCAGACTCAACCCCAGGATACCATGTCAGCGTACCAAAACGAGGCTGTCGGCGAATATCAGTTGCGAATATTCTTCCCCTGCCCAGCGGAAAGGTTCGATGACGACCTCTACGGCAGGCCCCTTTCTCATGATCTAGAACCCAGCAGCAAGAGTGACAGCCGTGCTTATGAAGCGTTATCATATCTCTGGGGAAGTCCGAAAAGCCCCAAGCAGACCCTGACTCCTCTAGAGAAGTCTGCCCCAGGTGCGCTTGATGGCAGCAATGCGCAAGCAGTCGGTACGCTCCAAATCGGTCAGAATCTCGTCGATGCGTTACGCAACTTCCGATACAAGGAGAAGCACCGAACCCTTTGGATCGACGCCATCAGCATCGACCAGGGCAATACGGAAGAGCGTTGATGACATCTATGTCATCAAAGGTTGTCCCAAGCCATTGATTTTGAGGAAGAGGGGATAATGTGCAAGGTCATTGGCGCGTGTGTAGCACCCCATCTTGCCAGGGGTGAGGCTTTTCGTGATCAGTTTTCAGCGGGTTGGGGAATGAAGCTTGATACACATGATGTGTTAACGGCGTGTTTTGTTGGACCAGATGGAGATGCTACATTGGAGGATCCTCGTCTGAACCCGCTTCTACAACAACCATTCAGACCTCGGGTGGAGAAGTTGACGTTGATTTGAACAATCTGGGGTGAGTTTCGGTTATTTCTAATATAGCGTACACAAATACCATGGCTGCCGTGGCAAGATACATCCTCAACTCATTCTGATGGCTTCGTGGCGCTAGCCACGACAATAGTCCTCTCAGTCATAAAAGGCTTCCCGCCATATTTCTTATTGAGAAATTCGACGATGGTCGACGTCAACTTCGGTCGCAGCTTTTCTTTCTGTTCCTTGGACCAGTATCGCTCCGTCACACCCAGCTCCAGCCCTTGAAGAACAGCACAGAACTGCTCCGGAGTTTCGAACGTGATGTCTTTCGTGAGAGTCTTCGTCTCGGTATCAACAAGACCGGCAGCATTGTACATGGCAGATGTGTAGTATTCGTCCTCCCATGCGCCTGGAGACCAAATTCGGGTCAGGTGGTGCGACTCCTGCGGCCAGGGAACGGGTTTCTGCCCAGGGAGCCTGAGATTGGCGACGGCCTCTCGAGTTGCGGGCACCCAGCCTTCGAATGCCCATGTCGAAGTTGCAAGGCGACCTCCTGGCTTGAGGACACGGTGAAGTTCTGGTAAACTGTGAGCAACCGTACCAGTACGTTTATGGACCTTGTGATTACTTACCCGACAAGCCGGTGTAAGGCTCCGCAACAACCATCAGAGCCATTCCAACAACGATGTAGTCGAAGCTGTTTGACTCAAATGGAAGACACTGTTGGCAATTTCTGGTAAGCCAAGGTGTCAAGGCCAAATACTTGCACGAACGCAATCAATAGTAACTTACTGCAATGTCCGCATGCACCACTTTAGTATCTACCCAACCATCCACCTTGACCCTCTCCTTAACGTACTCAAGCTGAGCCTTGCTGGAATCCGAACAGGTAAGCTTTACAACACCATCTTTCTCCCGGCCCTGTTCCTTGATCATCGCCTGGATGTGTGCTGAAACAACACCAGCTCCGCAACACATGTCCAGAACTTCAACCGGTTTATCCAGCGCGGTGATCTTTTGTGCAGTCAATCCGCAATGCTCCAACAGCGGCGGTGTGACTGGAGCCGTGATGTATTCTGTGTTTCTGTAAATGTTTCCCACGTCTGCTCGGCGCCAGAGGCTCGTATGGTTGGCTCTGTCGGCAGCAGGATTGACAGCGGCAGGGTTGAGGAACAGCTTGGACTGTCCGGGGGCGTTGGGTCCGGCGGCAGAGTAGGATTTCATTGTGGCGTGTTGGTTCGGAGATTTTGTGAAATTGATGTAACTGCTGGTTTTGATAAATCTTACATGTAGTGACGGTAGCGTGCATCAACTTACAAGGTAGGTGAAAGAAGGGCTCCCTTTTAATACGAAAATTGCAGTGAGCTGGCTCTTATAGCAAAACAAGTCTTGTAGACTAATTCAGCCGCGAAACCAATGATATCAACCCTTGTGTAAAAAAGACGGCCCGAGCGAATGATGAGCTCGCTTCCGCGTTTAAGGTGCATACAAGTTAAGGCATACGCAGACTTCCACCCACTGCTTCGGTAAACTGCAGACCTTTCCGCATTCGGCAACCATGAAGTTGTATAAGATTCATCTAGACTGAGGCTGTCGAGTTAGAGTTACGGGAATCACACATGAATTGGCTTTTGGCTTAAAGGGGTTGCTGATCCGACCATCCCTACTGTGATCTGGATGTTCGTTGGGTCTGAACTCTACAAGCGACGAAAAGTCTCCCGGTCGTACGTGCCCAATTAGGAAAGCTGGGTGCCGACCATAAGTAGGCCGAATGCCTTGGAGTCCCGCAGTGTTATCCCATAGCGTTACTTTTGATCTCGATGTGCGTGTCTGATTGGACTGCACAAGAAGGAGGTGGACATCAAAGAAACAGTGTCTGCCTTCTTCATAAGTTTCCCTACATGAAGCTATCTTCCGTGGCATCGATTTTAAGCATCTTCTAGGATCAGGTTCGCGACCTGCAACCGGTGGGACGCATTCGGTTTCCCAGACGTCAAGCAGAGCTTACCTTGAATTTGTGTGTTGGTTCAGACTTTGGCCATTATGTCAACGTCAATGGTGTGACGGGTTGATCTTAGTGTGCTTTTCTCTCTTGACATTGGGGTTGATGTCTAATGTGCCAGGTAGACGTTCAGTTTGACTTTATGATAATGAGATGAATGCAGACGTGACGTATATTCCTATCCCGTACTCATATCCAATAGGCTAGAAGGAATAACGTTCCGGCCTCCGTGATAGTATAGCAAGCTTCCGTACACGCACAGACTCGGAGCGTTCCTTTTTTGCGCTACTTTCCAATAAACACATGACGAACTCACACATATCAAACTCTACGTGTAGATATCAGACAAAAATTCTCATTGTCTACTTCACATTTGATGATACGCCAAGATAATCTATTTGAGATCGTCGGAAAATAGGTTCCATCCCCGGGCTGCATCGCCTCGTCGATCGCCGATACCGCACTTCCGTACCGCACTCCAGTCCATCTATGCCGGACTCTCTTAATAACACCTATTGTAAAGAAAGACAGATGATCAGTGCGAACAAATCAGACTCGGGTGAATTTATTTCGGCGGTTGCCAAGCCGGCGGCTCTGGTGGGAAGTGAGCCGCCGTCATGCCATAGGCCTGAAGGTTTCCTTGTTGCCGAAATCGCCAGGACCGAAGGGTGGGTGTGTCCTCCCGGATCTCAATTCCTTTGGTGGCGAATCAAAAGATCGGATCTATTGAAATGAGTCTTTTCTCCTCGGGCGCTTACAGCGTCAGTCTTTCGGTTAGGGGTGACCTGTCAACACCCAAGGAGTCGTTGGTAGTTCTAGTGGTTAGAGCATCAATTTGAGCACTGTATGATTCAAAGAAGCATAGAGTGGCGGTATCTTTCCGAGACATGTTCTGTTTCATTGACTACTGATGCAACAATGAGTAGCTGCGACCAAGAACGACTCTGTCCATTCCAAAAAGCCGGCAAATGTTGCGATAGCCGACGGGTAGAAATGTAATCATAGCAAGCACGCGCCGTTGGAGATGTGAGGTATTTCGGATCTTGGCATGTAACTCACATTTGGAGTCAAGTTTCATCAAGATTGATTAAATCCTGACCGCGAGATTAGGGCGGTGCATGGAGATCGCAAACATATTACTGTTTCTTAGCCGGATAAGGTTGGCGAACCCATCCATCAAGAGTTCGGAGACGATTACTCAACAAGCTGATTGTTGTCAACAAGCAGCAGAAAATCATCATATCAATTCCAATTTGTCAATCTACCCATTTCAGCCGCGTATAGTAATCCAACATAGTGTTAGGAACTCAGCTGGTCTCTCGTGAATTTGTTGTTGTTGTTGTAGTATTTAACGCCTGCTTTAAACCTCTATGAGGCATAAGGCGTCCGCGCCGGCAGTCTACTAAGGATACGCATCTACATATAATGATAGAAAGCAGATACAAAGATCCAATTGCAAACTAAAGGATGCTGCAATGACGTTGTTGAACTCGGCACAATTGTACTTCTACGCTAGAAGGTTCTCAAGTCCGACAACGCCAAGTGTTTCTCGATAATGCCAAAATGAATGTTCAGGGGGACACTGCAAGAGAAGCAAACGAAAAGCCTGGCACTTGGAGGCAATCGGGCACCGCGTGCACCCAGCGCTGAAACGATCTGCATTGTGCGTCTCTTTCTTTACAGATGAAAACAAACAATCATCGAACGGATATGATGCGCAAATCCATCTCGTATCGATTTCCTGTTTGTGTGGGATTTTAAGCGCGTTATAGGTAAGCCTCTAAAATAATGCGTCATCAAGATTTGGCTGCCGACTATAGTCCAAACGATTTTCAATATCTTCCACATCGTACCTGGCCATGGAGCTTATCAAGTATGTGTCTAATTTCCGATTCCTTAGTATACGGCTATTTGAAATTCTCAACGTCTCTCATCTCGCGCCACTTGCACCTCTTCGCGATTCTACCAAACGCTCTACGCAGTGGATGAATGAATAAATGTACCTTTGGGTTTGGGTTGGCATCTGCAACTAGGTCACATCGCCTGGAAGACATAATCGATAACCTTACCAATTGGAAACGGCACTTGAAGATAGGCAAGCCTGGATTTTGGGACTTTATTGACCCGGAAAGGCTACCAAATTGGCATGAGTGTTGACGGTACAATGGCAACGGCTACCTGCTAGGCTGGACTTCTGACTACTCTAGTTAGTATAACGCCCCTATTAAAGTCTGTTTGATCCAGACGCCACCAACAATAGGCAAATGAGGGTGCTACAGCATAGAAAATGCCGAAGCACAGGGCCAGATCCGTTGTGATAGCGTTTGCAGTCTACCATCAAATCTTCCCACATTAACTGCGTTGAAAATAGTACCAATGTCTTTAAACATCTAATTTAACCCCATCATATTCCCAGTTGAACTTCATTCTCTGCATGATGACCTCGGCCGAGACCTTTGCTGCTGCAATCCTCGAATTCGCCTGTACTTGAGACGCTCTAGGTCTTCGAAGCTCATCCCATTTCTTCAGAATACTTCCAACGTCATCTCTAGAAACGCCGGGCTGCAAAAAAGGTCGCAAGGCTTCAGCGTCTTCTAATGCCTGGTTTGCCCCTTGGCCTTGGTAAGGCACCATCGGATGAGCGGCGTCACCAAGCAATACCACGGCTCCCTTGGTGTATGTAGGGAGCGGGTCTGCATCGCGTAGTTGATAGAGCTTCACAGACGTAAGACTCCTTTGAAAATGGCGTTAATTTTGGTTCGATAGCTGAACAGGACACGACTTACTTGATGATTTGTTGCAGCCATTGCGGGAAATCCTGGAAATGCCCAATCAACTCCTCCACGTCACCATCCTTGGTCCATGATTCCTCCGTAGACTGACGCAACAGAGAATCCGGGACGGCGCACGCAAAGTTCATGGTTTGGAGGTTTTGACATGGGTAGACAACCACATTCCGATTCGAGCCATCCGAAGCAATGAATGAGGACAAGAAGACCCCGGAATCGCAATTCAGTGGCTCCGGAAGGTGTCCAAGCAACTCGATCATGTCTAGTCGGGAGCAGGTAAACCTGTAGAGAGATAAGTTCGCGGGGACAGGTTGAGGGTGACCCTGGCCTACGACGGCTGGTCGAACACTTGAGTGGATTCCATCTGCCCCTATATCACCGAAGAGTCGTTAGAAGAAACCTAATTTATGGAAACAAGCTCGCCTACCGATGACCAAGTCGACCTTTTCGCGAGATCCATCAGCAAGTCTGATAATGCCGGCATCTGCATCAGCCACCGTGGCCCGCGCTCCATAGACAATCTCCGCGGGGCATCCTGGCAAGTCCGGGTTGGTAGCAGCGTCTAGCAGAGCGTCCTTCAGATCCTGACGATGCACTAGCCACCACTCGGAGCCGAACACCCTCGCGCAGTCGAGCCGTTGCTCTTTGAGCAGAGAGCCGGTTTCGTTGAACGTTCTGAACCCGTTGCTGACGACGGCCTGCAGGACATCTGACGAAAGACCAAGGGCCTTGGCCATTTTGGAGCCATTGGGTCCGAGACCAACCGCCGCACCAGGCTCCTGGGCGCCAGTTGCACTGCGCTCATATACAGTCACGCGATGAGCTCTTCGGAGAACAGATGCAGCTGCTAGACCAGCTATTCCACCGCCAATGACAGCGACTTGTAGCGAAGTAGCTTCCGACATTGTCGTGTTGCTCGTTCGATGAATGATGGCGGCTATTTTTGTGGAATGATACCGGACACGAGTAAGAAGTGTGATGAGATGAAAACTCTATAAGAGGCGATCGTAGCCATAAGTAATGATACGTTGCTACTCTACCGGCTGACACTTCTGGAGGGACTAAGATTGAGGGAATACCAATCGGACCTAGTCGCCAACTAGCAGTGATCCCCAAATGGGTATCGGCCTCGAAGTGAGATGTTGTCCGAGGATGGGGTAACGTGAAATGCGAACAGAGTCGCTACATGACTTAGCTATTGTTTATTTCCCCGGCTTGGAAGTAAAACCAATCACGCGGATCATAAAAGAAGACGCAGTCCGTCATGGCGGAGCATCCCGTCGGGACAAGGTTTATGTTACTCTCAAATCCTGACCTGCGAATAATACGATTGGATTGGTTATCCCAGCTGCCTCATTGACGAACCGCTCCTTGGCTCACGGCTAATACTGTCGAACTGGGTAGACTTAGTAAGCGGGATATGTTGAGTCCTTTCGGCATCAAACGGTTTCTCTTCGCCGGGCAGCATATGTCGTGCGACGGTGGGAGCCGGTAGGAGCCGGTGGGATGACAGCGGTGAGGATGATGAGACGAGAACTACCAATTCGTCATGACATAGTGATCCATGCCTAGTACCCCATTCAGTTACTAGAAGATGTCTCGATCATAGGAGATGGGGTTGGTGAGATCGGAACTGCGCACTTGTGTTTTTGAGAGCTCCGGCTGCCGTTCCGCCTCGGTGGTTTCCTGTCTACAAACTCAGGGCTCATAAAGCCTTCGGACGAACAATCGCCATCGAGCTGCACGTCAGATCTCACTCGTTTTCGACCCATAGTCTCATTCGCCGCCGGTTTGAGCTCGTTCATCACATCAAATATCCCGTTCACAAGAGTTCCGAGACCGAGAGACACAATGTTTGGCCTCTTGAATGAGGGCTCCGTTGTGCCCACGATGGTTGTGTTAACCCTCCTAGCCATAGGGTTGACGCTGCGAGTGAGTCTACGAAGGTCTACTTTGATATGACTTCTCCCTCCTAACAAGATTCATAGGCAGTCATCCGAGCCGCGTTGTCGCCACTGAAATACATCCCAGGCCCGTGGTACACCCACTTCACCCACTACGTATTGAAGTACCACGTAGTAGTGGGCAGGCGGATATACTACGTCCACGACTTGCACCGCAAGTACGGAGACATCGTGCGCCTCAGCCCCGACGAAGTCTCCGTGGCCACCGCAGACGGCCACCGCCAGATCTACGCCACGAATTCACAGTGCCTCAAACACGAGTGGTACTTGAAGTTTGGCGGCCACAACGAACCCGGCCTATTCACGATGCGGAACCCGAGGGAGCACGCGAAGCGCAGGAAGATGTTCGCCAGGGCATTCAGCAAGTCTCAGCTCAGAACTCAGTGGGAAGACGTCATCGCCGCGATCACCCGGGAGGGGGTGCGCAAGATCGCGGAGCAGTTGCGGCGGGACGGCGAGGTCGACGTTCTCAAGTGGTTCACATTCATGGCGTCGGACGTCTCTGGCGAGCTGATGTTCGGAGAATCCTGGGACATGCTACGCAAAGGCGAAGTAACGCAACTCTCACCGGATGCCGCGATGAGTTTGATAGTAGCTGATCTGCCACACAGAAAAACGAGTTCATCCGATCCATAGAAATCTTCACCCAAGTCTCCGGCCTCACCGCGGAGCTCCCGCTTCTCAAGCCCCTGGGCCGCCTTGTCCCGCTCCCCTGGTTCCGAACCGCGTTCCGCGGATGGGACTACGTCATCGACTACGCGTCCCGCGCCGTGGACAACAGCAAGAAGCTGACCCAGCTGGGCGAGCGCAACATCTTCGGCACGATTCTCGCCAATGCGGAGAAGGGTGAGACCCTGACCGAGTGGGACATCAAGAACGAGGCGGGAAACTTCACCGTCGCGGGGACCGACACGACGGCCGTCACGCTGTCCTACTTGGTCTACGCCGTGCTGTCGCATCCGAGGATCCAAGCGGAGATCGAGGCCGAGGTCGCGAGGTTGCCCGAAGACTTCCGCGATGCGGATGTGGAAGAGCTGAAGTGGCTCAACGCGGCCCTGAGCGAGACGAACCGGCTGTTCGCCGCGGCGCAGGGGGCGTTCCCGCGACGAACTCCGCCCGGCGGTCTCACGATCGAAGGGTACGCCGTGCCCGGGAACACGACCATCAGCGCCCAAGGCTACACGATGCATCGTAAAGAGGAGCTTTTCCCAGACGCATTGGAGTAAGCTGCCTTGTTGACAGTCTGTTCCATCTCTGTTTGCTGACGAGTGGGGGTTCTAGGTTTAAACCGGAGCGATGGTTCCCCGAATCGAACATGCCGGCGGAAGCCAAGGCGGTAGTCGCGCCGTTTGGGTCTGGGTCTCGCATTTGCATTGGCATCCACGTGGCATATATCGAGATGAGGTTGGCGGCGGCTCTTTTCTTTCGCGAGTGTCCTGGAGCCAGGGTGGCGCCGGAAACCACACCTGAGTCGATGGCTTTTCTCAATTACTTCGCCACTTTTCCGATATCCGGAAGGTGTATAGTTGAGAAGAAACCTATTTGAGAAGCCCTTGAACTTGGATAGTATACAGAAAATGTGCCCTATAGACGGGCCAAACTTATGCGCAATGTCAAGCTAGACTTGTGTATTGATTTTGTAATCCATAACCACCTCTATCTCCTGTTGAGACCCCATTAATAATCTGACGTGAGAAAGCGCGTGGAAAGGACTGTGGAAGGATGGATGGAGCAGATCATTTCTTTTGATATCCTCCAATTCATCGTGTGTCTCCAATAACTCGATATGTGTGGATGGCCTTGTCCTTCGAGCTCCGTACCTTCCGGGGTAGGCCTGGAATCTGTTGAAACTCATGATGAGGTGTACTGGAGCCGTCAAGTAACTGATAGGATACGCTCTGATTCCGGTGCCCTTCACAGGACATTGCTTCCGGATGACTCCTCTTTACCAAGCCATCCGGTCCGTATAAGAATCTTCTAAGAGGCTTGTGGAAAGACCAGATCCGGAAGCAAGTTGAAGAAAGGCAATGCCCCCCAGCTTCTCTATTGAGGAACAGAGCAAAAGTGTTGAGTAACGTCAAACGACAAAGGTGTCTTTGATGGTGTTGTGAGCATACCTACGCTTCAAATATGCAATGGTCGCCAACCTACATTGCCTCCCTATGATTCGTTGTGATCACGGTCGCCTCAGTGCAGGCATCATCTGTTTTTGGTGTCTCGGGCGCCTTGTTTTGTTCGCGACCTTGTGCCAAGTCCAGAGCCTGCCGCAGGACACCACTACACCCGCCGCGCTCCACCTCCCAACAGCTTCAGAAGCCTGGCGCATGGGACGTATAGAGCTGGACTGTTCTCCCGAGGAAATGCCAGGTCTCTGAGTTTGATGTCGTTTCCACCTTGACAGTTAGGATCGAATAAGAACGGCATACTTCAAATGAAGAAGGCTCGGACATATTGAATAGTTTGGTCACAGTCAACGTTGATTGGGCTTAGTTTTAGTATGCCGAATATTTCGGGCAAGCTTGCATGGTACTGATGCGGCCTTGTCAAACGATACACCGACCCTATGCATGTATGCTTGTACAAATGGAGTGGAATATGAGTAGTCGAATGAGGCCCCTGAATGGGCCGTCGTGGCGTTGAATATTACCACGCACCCATGTATGCATAGTCACAGATTAGGTACTTGAGACGCTGATCTTGTTATTTAACAAATAAAGCCAAACACCGAGGCCTATGGAAGTCACTTGCTTCCCAGGAAGTAAAACCATACCCATCATCCCGCGGAGGCAACGGGACTTTCACTTTGGTGGATCATCGGGCTTTCTTTCCACAGGTCTCAAGCCTAGCTTTCGAGATTACATACGTAGATTCCGAAAGCGCGGTTCGAGTATCTTTGTCACAGGCTTGAACGAAAAGCCTAGCATATCTCTTCCCAGATCATTGACTAAACACAAGCCTACTGCAAGGGCTCGCGGGCCAACTTTTCCAGTCGAGTCATCGTCGTTCGCTTGCACTACCGTCCAGTCAATCTCGATTGGCTTGGCTTGAGTCGAAGGTCACCGTCCCTTACCACGCAGAATCCTACACCGTCGAATATCGTCAATCGCATTGAAACCAGTCGAGCTGCGAGAATGTTACCGGCCCGACTCATGAACGTTACGACGAAAGAGGTTGTGGATGGATCGAACGCGACGACATACGCTATCCTCTCGTACGTGTGGAACCAAATGGGACAACGACACTGTGCTGATTAGAGACGGCCACGGAATTGGCAAAGAAGGAAAATTTCGATTACATATGGATCGACAAATTCTGCATCGCCCAAACCGACGACACGGACAAGGCCCAGGAGGTGAGGAAGATGCGCGACTACTACAGGAACGCGGGGACAGGAATCGTCCTCACACCGGAGCTCGACACCAGGAAGGGGAGACTGCGTCGTTCCGTCCGTGGCCGGCAGCGAATTGGGCCACGAGAGGCTGGACGCTGCAGGAAGCCGCCATGCCCCGAAAGTATCGTCTCCAGGGAATGGGCGGGCGTACAGGCAAACCACACCGCCTACGAGGCGGAGGACCACGTGGAAGGCGAAGTGTTGTTCGGCCGGGCGAGAGGTCGTCCGTACTTGTACGAGGATCTCGAGATCGCGTGGAGCAAGAAATCCGAAGAGGGTGTTGGGCCGGAAGGAGGACACGATTATCGCGTATCTGGGGCTGGTCAAGAACGGAAGTTCCGTGAATGCGAGATATGGCAGCGGCCTGAGGGACATGTTGAAGGAGGCGATTGACTCGGGGATGTTGTCTTTGCGCATGTTGACGTCCACAAGCTGGGGTAATGAGATGGAAGACGGCGAAATGGAGCCCGGTTGGGACTGGAACGAAGAGGAGGAGAGCGACTACGAAGAGAGAATCAGGATAAACGACGAAGGATCTTGGGTTCCGAAGGTGATGCTGGAAACGGACCAAAGAGAGGGGAAATGCCATTCTATAGTCCTATCCCAAGGAGATGACTGGGGAATGGTGGGAGATATCCTTCGTGTCGGCAGTGGAGGGCTGGAAGTTCGCGCAGAACGACTGACACTGGAACGACGCTGGACATCTTCAACGGGACGCATTGTCCGGTGGGGAGACGGAGGGACGGGCATCGTCACAATACGGAAAGGTCAAGTTTGGAGGGGTTCAAGAACAAAGGATGCCCTTTTGATTGTGAGACGCGATCCTCCCTACACGCACGGGGAGTTTGATGACACACGCATGCTCATTTATGGCACGTATCATAGGCAAGGGATATTCGAAAGAGAAGGGTATTCGGTGACGGACCGCCCTCTAAGGCTCTGGAGGGCAAAGCGGTACAGGATTCAGTAAGCAGATTTTATCTTCGAATCTAAGGACACAACCATTTCACGACCGGGGAGTGGAGGACGAGCAGGAAGATGGAGGTCCAGATGGCAGTGCGAGAAGATTGCGAGAGGAGGGAAGGGGATCATTCCGTACTTGATCTTGAACAATGGTATTTGCAGGTTTCTTCTACACTCGGGTTGCGAATGATCAGTAGGACATATTATTGTTTAGGAAGCAAATCTCAAGCAGAAATGAAATAGGTTACGGTAGACGTATCACGGTAGACTCAAATTGCTGTCGTGTCGGGTCTGACCCTTCCCTACTGCAGGATCCCGTTGCACGCAGCGCATGTATCCCTTTCTGATGTCGAGATTGAACTAAACTCACAGCGTTTTCCCAGAACACCGACAACCATGACCTCAAGGCGTGAACAGGGTGAGGTATCTCATTAAATCGATGCCGTACATTCACACACTACACCATCGTACACAGCATCAACACCGCGAATAACCTCACGCTGAAACCCGAACTCCAAAAAAACGCCATCCACATGACCTACACAGTAATTAACCCAACATCAAACCGTCCAGAATCCCTTCTGACGTCATAACCTCAAGGTGAAGCAAGCAAGACAAAATAAGTGTCGGGTAGGTCACTCGACACCGTCGGAGCAAGGCAGTGTACAAGAAAGCCACCTGACGGGGTCAGACGGGGCCGCGACTTTACCGAGAAACCGACCGAGATCACGTTAGCGGAAAAACGGGCGGGGGGCATCTCAGAAACGGCGAGGGCATCGGACGTAATCGACGCGTCGCGGCACGCGGGCCGCATGGCTGTTGCGTATGTCAGTATTAAAAGGGGTCTCCAGGTCTCTTCGACGAAAACACGCGTGAGAGTCATGTTTTGCGGACGACCAGGCCAAGTGATCGTTTGGAAACGAAAAAGCAGGAGATCAAGAAAGTCATGAAACGGAAAACGGATTTTAGAGAACTCATGATACAGTGTGGTATGTACACTTGATGGACATATATACAGCGGCGCCGCGCCCTTGCCGTGCCCCGGCCGCCCTGCATGCTAGTCCAGACCCCTCCTGCGTCCCTTTGCCGCCAGGGCCCGCGCCCCGCGTATCGCGTCGGGCTGCGGCTTCTGTATGCGACATGACGCTTCTTCAGGACTCCTCCTGCTACTCATCATCATACTGCTACTACTACTACTGCTGGTGCTGGTCTTTGCAGGGCTGGCGTCACGACGGCGGTGGGGTATCTTTGGTGAGGAACTGCGAAAAGAAGAAGTGGGTATCGAGCGAAGCGAAGAGTATGTTTTGCTGTCAAGATAGGACGCCGCCGCTGTGGAAGAAGATAATTTGGTTTCGGGTCTGGGCGTGGGAGTTTCTGAAGACTCCATCACGTCGTCGTCAAAAAGGTCGAAGGGTAGCTGGGTTGTCGGGAACTCGTCGTCACAGTCCTCATCGTCAATTGCGCTGTCGGGGTAGTAGGCGTAATCGACCTGCTCCTCCTCCACACTGGACTCACGCGTTGAGCGGTCCTCGAGATCGGAGACGGACGTCGTCAGGGAGTCCGGGTCTTCGGACTGCGAGGTCTCTTCCTCGTCGTCATCGAGACACCGGAGAACTCTCCCCGCGAAGCGACCAGACTCCGATCCTGAGAATGACAGAGTGCGCGCTGGCGTGAGGTTGTGGAGGACATAGTCGTCGTGGTCGGCGTCGATGGGTGACGATGCCGATGTTTCAGACTGCGTGGTCATGGAGCGAGGAGAGGGAGGAAGCTCTTGGGATGAAGAGATGGAGGTGGAGATGTGTAAGGGTTCGTACGTCATGATAGGCTTTTCGTCATCATCGTGAAAGAAAGTAGGACCGTCGACGTCGAGGCTGCTGAGGTTTGTGCTAGCCGTGCGGGTGCTGCATCCGTCATCGAAGGAGGATGCGGCCGACGAGGCCGTGTAGTAACCTTGATGGCAGTCGTAGTTGTCGGGCAGGTAACTTGAAAAGAGCCTCACGAGGGAGTCGAGGGAACGCGTCCGGAAGAGCTGCAGGGCGTGCGACCACTGCGCGGTACCGACGAGTTTGGGGTTCGCAATGATCTCGACTGCAGCGAGATCAAGGGACGCGTTCAGTTCCTTCAAGCGCTGCTCCTTGCGGTCGGCCATGAGACGGTGGAACTCGTCGGCGGTATCGGCGAGGCGGGAGATTTCGTAAACATCGTGGTGGAAGGCGTCAGGGTCCTGGATGCTGGAGGGGACGGTGTTGTATTGATCTTGCAGTTTGGTGGAGAGGTCAGCTCTCTTCATCCCAAACTTCCAGAACGGCCATGCTTGACACGGGTCGTCCATGTTATTGTGGCGGAATTGTGGTTGTATATGAGGATCGATTCGCCGGGGTAGGGCGAGTCGAGGGTCGAGAGTGAGGATCGAGAGTGAGGATCGAGAGAGGAGTGTTCAGGAGGGCGAGGGAGGAGGAGGAGGCAAGGTTGCCGGGTGAGGCCGTCGGCTTCGGTGTGCTGAATTGTGAATATTGTGGGCTGGTGTTGACGACATGGGAGGCATTTAGATCTTGGGACCCTGAGTGGGAATCATTTTGGCGGTTTGTGAGTATTTCGGGTCGAGGCAAAAGGGCTGGTGCTGTACGGGATCGATGGTGTTGACAATGGAGAGATTCAGGGCGTGGAGACACCGAGGAGCGCGGGAACGAGTTGGTCGGGGGGATGCCGGAACTCCATGTCGAAGCCAGCATTGGATGACTTAGCAGGCCGGAGAGAAAGAGCAAGAATGACGGGAGCCAGCAGGGGGGAAAGCGGCGTTAGCGTCAGCCCCGGCCCCTGCTAGCGCTGCAATTAGCCCTGTCGCTATTGACGAAATCGGAACACGAGGTCCGGGCGGGCCCTGCGATTTCGGGCTCCGCCACTTTAGCGAGCCAATCGAAGAGCGGAGACGCATGCAGGGCGGCATGGTGTTTGGGACATGTCCAATGAAGGCGTTGTTTGTGGATACAAAGGTGTCAAAGTGTCTCCACTCACAGAAGCCACGAGACGACTTTTCGCAGGCTTTTCGCCTTTTCGACCTCAGGCTGTGTGTGTGGCACTTGGTGGAAGGAAGTCGCCATCGGGCAGTGACTGGCAACTGCCTGCCTGCTGAACAGCGGCAAAGATGAAAGAGAAGGAAGGAGGAACCTGGAAGGACAGAACACTGAAAGAATGGAAAAACCCAGTGGGTCGGCTCAGTCATCCTCGTCGCTTCTGGAGCCAATCACCACATGCCTCTTTTCTTAGCATCCAAATCTCATTCTCACTCATTGAGACTCATTTAAGGCTCATTTGCATTCATCGCCAACCACTCATTCTTACAGTCACACACACCGGCCAGCCTGATTCTCAAAATTCGAATCCTCCGACAAACTGTTTCTTCATAAACACGATTGCTTCCGCATCTGTTTTGGGTCACGACGGCCCGTTGTCTCTGTGTTTCCAGTTCCAGATCTTTCCTCACGGAAGTCGACCCGTGAAGACGGGAAAGACAGTAACGTCAAGTGACTTGTTGCTATTCATCTCGCCCGAGTCAACTGCCACGACTGGCGGGCACTGCAGAGACCTGCAGACCATCCCATCCATCATTCCGAGATTCAATCGAGGGCGCTCACTGGCCGCTTCTCTCTCACCCTCTCATCTTCGCTCAATTCAAGCCGTTGACTGAGGCGTTGTGTTGTGGCTTGGTCTCGGTCAGCACAGCAATCCGTTTTGGTTATCCGACGGCCGATGAATCCTTATCATGTCCCTCCGCACGAAAGATGTGCGTCAGGGTACCTCCTCCAGACCCATTGACCGGGGGGTTGATGCGCAGTTCTGAGATCTCGAATGAGAGAGCCCGTCTTTCCATTCACTCTCCTCAGCGCTATTCCCCTTCAGCCACCTTGCAGCTGTTCAGCCCTTCCGTCTGTTCCAGTTGGATTCTTACCCTTCCCCTCTCTCTTGAACTCCTCTTCAGGACCCCAGGCACCCGTGTCCTTCCACAGGGTTCGATGACTCTTTTCATCCAACCTCGAATTCAGCCCTGTTGCTACATCTCTATCCCTCAACTCGTTTCGGCCATATCTTAGTCTCTGAGCATATCTTGTCCTTGTTTCCCGCTTGTCGGAAACATCTCAACTGCTGCGCGGTCCAACTGACGTACGTCCACCCGCAACTCGCTACAATCTCACACCGTGTCTGGCTGTAGTAGCCATCTGCTGGTCAGGACTCTCAGTCAGTCACTCTCTGCTGCGTCTCGGCCGATAAACTACTTGAGGCTGAGACTTCATCAGCAGGCCCTCCATAAGGTCCCAAGGTCCCTCCCCGTTCAATCCCGTTCACTCTACACTACTATTCCCCCGTTTTCTCCATTTCCCACCCGTCAGTCACTGACTGTCGCTGATTCCAGTTGACTTTGGGCTCATCTGTCCATCTGTTCATCTGACGTCCAGTCTCGCGCCCTCACCCTCAACCTCAACCTGTAGGCCTGTCGCCCTGGCGGCTCTTAATTCCGTGCTTGTTCCTGCATTCGTGCCTCTCATATACTGTCTCTGTCGCCCTCTTCCTTCTTTTCCCTTTCCTCATTCATCCGTTCCGCATCACAGGTCGAATCTGAGTGCGAAGCCCGCAGTCTCATCCTAGCCTGCCTCAGCAAAACGACATATCTCACCACGCTCACCCTGCTTGCCAACCGCTCTCGGCCTGTCTGCCTGGCTGACTATTGTCTGGACAGACCACGTCTCACGCACACCAGTTCGCACGCAATCCAACCTCATCCCGGCCGGATCCTTACCCACTTGCCACCAACCAACTGCCTGCGCACACACGACTCCTTCACTTCCAACCGTTCCGCCGCCCGAGTTGAGTGACTGAGTCCCCGAGTCTTGTTGTAACCGCTTTCGCCATCGCGCCGCGCATGGACCACGACGACGGCTAGGCACCATCGTCGTCTCAACCTCCCCCCCTCTCCCCGTCTCATGGGCGACCACCGCCGGGTTCCCGGCTCGGAGGAGCCCTCGGAGGAAAAGACGGAACCCTTCTCTCAGACCGAGATCGACCGCCGCCTGGGGAGCATCCGCGTGGACGAGCCCTTCGACCTGCCCCAGGCCGACGTCGTGCCGCTCGACCAGCTGCGCGTCGAGGAGCATCACCACCAGCAGGGCATCCGCATCCTCGTCAGACCCCTCACCCGCAACCGCTCCGTGAGCCCGGGCAACATCAACTGCCAGTGGCTCGCCCTCCGCGCCGAGGTCACCTCCGAGTCGGAGCCCCAGCACAAGGTCCTCGCCGTGACGCAGACGTCCAAGGACATCAAGTTCTCGGTGCGCATCCCGCCGGAGCGCCTCGACGATGAGACCCCGCGCCCCCCGCTGTGGTGCGAGCTGTACTACGACCCGGCCAGCGACAACCAGATCCTGCTGAACAGGTCAGAAGTCCCCATCTCTCTCACGAGAATATCCGACGGCCCTACCGCCAGCGCCAGTTGGACCGTAAATCCCGGATCCCCCAAGGCCCTCTCACCAGGGACGTGGCGGATCAATGTTCGAGACGTTTCGGTTCTCGACTTTAGAGTATTAGAGAAACGGCCCGCGTTCTTCAGGCAGGATTCCGATCTCAAGGACGAGGACGAGATGGACCTGGGGTCGAGCTCCGACGCGCTCAACGCCTCCGGCAAGCGCTCCTTCACCGCACACGCGAGCCAGCCCAGAACCGAGAAGAAACCCCGCACCACCGACGAAGTCGCCGCCGCCGCCGCCGTCAAGAAGGAGGAGAAGGACGACGGCGTCATCATGTTCCTCCGCCCGGCGGCCAAACCCCTCGTCTTCCCCCTCCCCACCGAGGCCAAGAGCCGCGAGGTCGTCGCCGCCAACGGCCACGCCCTCCTCGACATGCAGGCCCAGGACACCGTCGTGATCCCCGGAGGCTGCGAGATCGACGAGTACACCGTGACGAAGCGCGACCAGATCGCCTCCACGGCCCTCTCCTCCGTCTTCACCGCCGAGCACTCCAACGTCCCCGACGGCATCGTCACCGTCAAAGTCCTCAAGACCCGCTCCGCTGCCGCCAACCACCAGGCCAACAAGCACCACCAGGACAACAACGAGCGCAGCGTCATCCGCCAGGCCGACATGTGGCTCCGCGAGTACCAGTCCCAGGACGACCTCCGCCACAAGTCCATCGTCAAGCTCTACGGCGGCGACGCCCGCTACCTCTCCCTCTACATGGAGCACGTCGACGCCAAGGACCTCTCCGCCAAGGGCGTCTGGCGCAACCACGCCGACCACAGCTTCACCGGCACGAAAGCCGACGCCTTCACCATCCTCCGCGACATCGCCGGCGCCCTGCACTACCTGCACTCCAAGTCCCTCGTCCACAACGACATCAAGCCCGCCAACATCCTCTACTCGCCCACCCGCGGCGCCGTCCTCTGCGACTTCGGCCTCTCCACCCACGCCAGCGGGCCCGTCACCACCGGCGGCACGCCCTACTACATCCCGCCCGAGTTCATCGGCAGGAAGCTCCGCGGCCCGCCCTCGGACGTCTGGGCCCTCGGCGTCACCATGCTCTACGTCCTCGGCAAGATCCCCTTCCCGGACGCCCGCTCCCGCAAAGGGCCGCGGCCGCTGTACTGGATGATCGCCGACGTGAACCGGCCGATGCCGCCGGCGGCGAGCCAGCGCGGGCCGTGCGGCGCCGTCGACATGATGTACATCTGGCTCAGCGAGGTCGCGCAGGCGCGGGAGAAGCTGTACCCGCGCGACAAGATCGAGAGGTTGGTGTCTGATATGTTGATACCCCTGCCGAACCAGCGCATCACGATGACGCGGGTCATGAGGGAGCTGTTCTCCGTGGAGCAGTCCGCTCTGAAGAGGGCCAAATGACAACGATTTTGGGGTTTTTGGAATTAATATTGGAATTTTTTGCTTTCCTTGTTTGGGATAGAGATAGCTTGCATGAGTTGGACGTATTGCTGCGAGAGATACCATTGATGTTGAAGGGCATTGGTTTTTTTTTTTTTTTTCTTGTCTTTGCATGAGCAAATTCGCTCTTCACCGCGCTTGGTTTCGTGGACCAGGTCTCGCGTTTTTGCATTTCCGCACATATCATACCATATAACAACCAGCATATGCATTTAAGAAGGAATTTATTCGGCATCCACGGGTTGGGATGGTTGGTATCAAAGCATTTCATGTACATTAGAGGCACACACACACACAGAGAGAGAGACGGAAGAACACACAAACATTTCTGCTTCGTCTTAGTGATGCATCCATCCTCCCCTATCACCTGCCCCTCTCATTCCCCCTCATCCGTCATCCCGCGCGATCTCACAAGCTCAAGCCGAAGACGAAGGCCATGCTGAGTCCCACGACGGAGGTCAACGCGGCGACGTGCGCGCCGCGGCCGGACGCGCCGCTGGTACCGCCGCCGCCGGAGGTGGAGTTGCTCGCGTTGCCGCCGCCGCCCTCCTCGACCGTGCCGTTTGCGTTCTGTTCCTTGACGGGGTAGACCTCGACGCCTTGTGTCTTGCACTTGTCGGAGGAGAGGGTGGTTGCGTTCGCGGTAAAGCGGATGTCGGCGCACTGCGGCATCAAGTTAGTCGAGATGACTCACGGTTCACAAGACACACCATATTCTTCTGTTGTCGGATAGAAAGATGAGACTCACGTTGTACAAACCCGAACCAGATTCACCAACAGTCACGACCTGGATACTGCCCCTCTGCCCCTCGGTCGCGGGGGTGCTCAGGTTCAGCTTCTCGACGCAGAGGACGCCGGAGCCGGTGGCGTTCCAGAACTGCGGGGTGAGGGTGATGTTGTGGGTGGTGACGTTGCCGCCGGACTCGATGCCGAGGTTGATGAAGACGTAGGTCCAGTCGTGGTGCAGGTCGAGCTCGATGGAGCCGCCGTCGAGGGGCCAGTCGGTGGTGTTGCCCGCGCCGTAGGGGACGCCGGCGCCTGTGTTTTCTGGTGTTAGATATCTTGGAGCTGGAGACGGAGTGAGGGTGGTGGTGATGGGAGGTCTGGGGGAACGTACATGGGTATTGCCACTGCGAGTAACCCGTCTCGTTGGTCCCCTTGAGGGTGTCGGCGCGCCATTCGGGGTAGGCGAGGCCGAAGTGGGCGGACGCGAGGTTGGCGGCGCCGAGGGCGAGGAGGAGGAGGAGGGGAGTGGTCTTGGGGGCCATGGCTTCAACTTTGTACGGCGGGGCTGATTGTTTGTTTGATGGGTTTTCGCCAAGATGTGGGATGGGAGAAGGTCAGATCTTGTACACAACCACCGATGGAAGGCAAGGTCAGTTATATACACGCAGCTCATCTACTTCGCACATGTGCTGCCCCCGCAGATGGATATGCGGCTGGATTCTAAAGAAGCAGCTTATCCTCATCCTTGAGCTGCGAGGGAAGAGACATGCTGGCCCGGCAAGGATGTTAGAGGTGGTATATGGAACTAGTACTGCTAGCCCATGCCTCTCCAGTGACGGGAAAACCTGCGCAAGAAACGCCACAGATGCAGAGTGCGAGGGACCTAGGTCAGAGAGAGAGGGACCATCCTGGCTGATTACCAGCTTCACCCGCACCGAGGGGAAACAAAACGTCCCGGAAAGCTACTCTGAACGGAAGGTGAGCCAATGGAGGGCGCCAGTTGAGCAAGTTTAATTCTGTTCGAGGCCCCGGCCTAGCGAGGAACAGCTTAGCTGTCCGGGGCTTGAGTAAACACAGCAATGAGGTGAGATGGGTTGACATGTTGGACGGGCCACGAGGGGGAGACATGGGGATGCTTGACGTTGGGAAGAGGTTTCTGGAGGCGACGATGACTGGGCGACGAATCGGACGGCGGGGCGGGGCGGCGGCGGCGGCGCTAGCGCGGGGTGGTCTGGATGCAGGTATCTTGCTCAAACTCACGCACCCGAATCGGGAGCCTGGGTGATGGGGATGGTATGCCTGGGATGTTTGTGAGGGTAGGTGAAGATGAGGGGGGAAGGCCGGAATGAGTGAGGTTATTGTTTGGCTGTGAGTTTTGAAAAAGAGACGGTATTGAGCGATAATTGCTAATATCGTTCAAGTGTACTTGTATGAAGCGAAGCATTTGCGTTCGCGACTGTCATTTGAATTTCAATCTATGGACTTTCATGATGGCCTGGTAGTAACAAATCATTGGCTGTTACAAACCACTCCCTGGCTGCCGTGTACATTGACCCGGGTCATGCTGAGTAGACCGGCAAACAAATTGGCTCGGCCTGAGCCCCGGATAGCACCCGGAAGAAAGTGGACCTCACGCCGAGAAGCAGCCCGCACCATCTCCACCGGTTCGGTGTTCCCAAGGACCCTGAGAGGGGGACGTGCCAGAGTTTAGGATAGGTATGCTTGGCCTGACCCCGCAGACGGCTTTATTTCGACCTCCTGCCCGTGAACTCCCACCCTACTCACGATGATTTTGAGTTTACTTATTTGTGACTCTTGTTGTGATCTTTTCTTCTCAGCACGGCGTACCTCTGCTGGTGTTTGGACCTCCTCGCAATCGCATCTTCTGCTCACAAGACCTACCTCAACAAAAGCCGACTGTTCGCCCGTTGTTTGGCCCCCTTTTTCGTCGTTCGTATCGGTCGTTTTGCGTTTGGGTGGTTCTCGATCGCGCGCTTGATGGAGAAACGGCACTGAGTCGTCGGGCACGAGGTTGACCTGCGTCAAGAGCTCTAGGATCGCCGTCCTTCCCATCAGCTGAGTCAGCTACCATGGCGCCGATGGTTTAGTGGTAAAATTCTCCGTTGCCATCCAGCAGCGTCGGGGAGCCGGGGGTTCGATTCCCCCTCGGCGCAATCTTTTGCTTTTAGCATCGAAATATGTTTGCCGTTCATTCGTCCTTTTGCTGGCGCGGCGTCCTGGCCTGAACTGGGTGTTCCCATCAGCTTGTTAGCGAGTAGTTGGTTAAACGGCGACAAGGCTACGTGAAGATTTTCGATTTGTTATGGAGTTCGTCGAGGTCGTGCATTAGGTCGTCAGGATGTTCCCGCGTCGGGCAAGGGAACTGGATGAAGATTGGGACCTTATCGACTCCCTCCCTATTTGGATGTCAGAGCTTAGGAGAAGGAGATAACGACGAGTTCGACGGGATGTGAAGGGCTGCTCTCGCACTCGACGAAGGTGCGTACTGGAGTGCCTGACTCGGGAAGAGTCTTCCACGTTGAAAACATCATTTGGGTTTGCCAGAAGCTGCGCTGGCATACAGAACAAAATCAGGCTCTCGCGCCAACAGTGATCATCAACCAGAGCCCCGAGCATGCAGAAGAATGGCGATGATTGTGTCCTCCGGCGTGGAACGCCCGACGGACGACCCATATGTGTAGCAGCTGAGATGGCAGAGAACAGACCCTGGCCGGACAGAGTCAGCGTAAGGCGACCAATAATTGATCCCGAATTGACGGCTCCGTGGGAAGTTGCATCATTTGCCAGGGAAACCTCGACGATGGAGCAGGCGCAATGGCTCGACGGATTGAAACGAAATGGAGAAAATCGCGGCGGCCTCAAGTACCTTGTACCTTTTTGATGCGTGAGAGTGGAGGAAGAGTAAGCACCGCCAGCCAATGGTTCCTCTCCGCAGGGAATCCGCCCACCGTTCAGCCCCGCCTGGCGTCCGAGGCTTGGATCGTGACTTTAGAGATGAACGATGAGATAACTCCTGGAATTGGATATGGAGCGATAGGGGATCTTTCTTACACATGATGCATCAAAATGAGCTGTATTTGATTTTAATAATAGTTAAGGAAGATTAAAATTTAATCCTACAACACTAAAGTCAATAGATCAATAGGTATCTTTCCATTATCCTGCCATCTCTAACATTTAATTCATCTCCAAAGTCACGATCCTCAGAGGATCCCACTGGGGAAGGCGCACGGGCCACTGAGGCCAAATCGCTGCGCCCCCAGAAACGGCACAGGGCAGCCGCGGTCAGCCAGTTAGAAAGCGGCTGCCTGAGTCACTGGGCCATTCAAATCCCCAGGCATCCCTCGCGAATCTCGAATTCGACTCTTTCCTTCCTCATCCGACTTACCAAACCCTTCTTCTCATACCTATCTTCATCTTTTTCACACCTATCGCAACAAGCTTGAGATCGATTTGGATCATCGAGACAACACCCTCAAGCTTTCCCGCTCTCTCCTCATTGCCAATACCGATGCGCTGGTTGTAGAAGCCGTTTCGCCAACCGCCAAAATGGCCCTGCCTATTGACCCACCGGTCTACGACCGTCTGGATCAACACGATTACGATGGCGATCCTGGACGACTCGTGCCTCACCCTGACAGGACTTCGTCTTGCCCTTCTGCTTCTGGTTGCTGTGGCTCCGCATTCGAGGAACTATCGACAGATCATGCCATGATCCGTTACTTGTCCCTTGAGTCGGACTACTCGCCATTGAAGATCGAGATCTCTCCACACTTGGTGACCGACTTTACCAACGGAGAGAACTTCGGCGTCAGACGCGGCAAATTTCGAACTCCAGCGTCACGAGCGGCATCGCTCCGTGACACAAAGCCCTTTCCTGATACAGGACGTCTGCCAATTCCGCAGCAGGTTAGTTGACAAAATAGATAAACGTTTCTCTACACGAATGTAGAGGCTAACATACCTACCTAGTCTCCATTGCTTTCAACGACCTGTCCTTTTGGATGCGTGTCGATGTGCTGCGATCCAGATGCTGCCACCTCCGCTTTTGGAGGACAAGACGTCTCGAGAGGTTCCCTCTCGTACTTGGGATCTTACCCGACTGTGTCACGGCCTCGGCCATTTCTGCGTCAGCGTTTGACGGAGAAGATGTGTGATCACGTCGGAACAGCTGTGCCCTGCCTTGACTCCCCATTGCCTCGGCTCCAGGAGAATCTCGGTGGCACTTTCCAGTTCTTGTCGGTTGCGGTCTAATGTGGTGATGAAGATGCCGGTTATTCGCGCAGGTGAGACTTGACGACTTACGACACTCACGTCTATCCCCGACATGCGACTAACGTCCACCCCTAGGTTGGCCAAGGACCTGAGTATGTCGTAAAACTTCTCGAGCGGCCATCTAAACTTGATGAACCTTGTTTCCAAGCTCACACGCAACCAACGCCTTTTGTAAACCACTTCGCTCAGCAGATCGCCGAGTCTACCGCCATCTACGACCACCACTGCAACCACCTCTACCAGCAATTTTCAACTTCCGAGACGGAGTTGAGCGAGATGTCTGTTGCAACCATCAGCGTTGACAGACACGAAAACGACCTTACCCAAGCCGGGTCTGACGTCCTTCCCACTACTACTATGGCGGCTCCTACCAAAGGCTGGCCCGCCGAGGGTCGGCCGGTATGCGCTGCGCCCGACGACCTTATGGATCCCATGTTCACGCAGCCCTCGCCTCTCTCCGACCTCTACGAGGCACCGGACGAGATGGACGATTGGGCTATGCTTATCAACCACGATATGCTCGCCACCGGCGACTTTACCAACATGGGCTGCACCTACCCCACGGAGACTGACTACGCCCAAGCCATGCCCTCCCCCGAGGACATTTTCAACGATCCCGCGGTCCAGTTCGACGTCGAGCAGAGCCTGTTCTCTTTCAATGCTCCCCTCCCAGATCTCTCGGCGTCGGACTACCTCTCGGGTACCGACCAGTTTTCTGTCTCCTCATACTTCGGCAGCGCAAGCACATCTCCCTACGAGGCGTCCCTGGACTTCCTCCCGGATGCGTCCATGCCTCTCTTCCCGCCAGCCAACAGCATCTCTACCTCCCCCTTCGTGGGCACCACCTCTCCCACCAGCTCGGACGCCGACTACCCCTACCGCTGCACCACCGACAACTGCACAAAGACCTTCCGCAAGGAGGCCCAGCTCAAGCAGCACCAGCGCGTCCACCGCAAGTCTCTGGTTTGCACAATCTGCCGCGCCGAGCACCGAACCGAACACAAGTTCGCCCAGGTCCGTGACCTCGAGCGGCACTTGCAGGCGCGGCACCCGGAGGTCGCCCAGAGCGCAAACGTACGCTCCGAGATCCGGGAGTGCCCTCATCCCGGGTGCGACCACCGCGGGCGGAGAGACAACGTGTCGAGACACCACGAGAGCAAGCACGGTAAAAAGCTCAAGTGGAAGAGGAGCGTTCCTCACGTAGTGGATTGAACGTCATACTTTTTGGATGGGTACTAAAAACGAATGAGCGATGTGAGTTTTAGGCGTTGTTGATACCTGTTTTTTGATTTTACACTCGGTTCGGTTTGGGATATCTCGGTAGCATGCATTTACACCAATACATCTCAAAATAATCTATCGGTCCCTCTGGTGTGTGACTGTGGCAGGGCAGTGTCAACGCCGGCGATATGATACATCGCTCCGCTTCGGATGTCCGCCGTCAACCCGATTCCTGCGGACAAACCCAAATAACTGACCTTGGTAATCATCTTGACATCGGACTTGCCATCTTCCATTCAAACAAGCAGGTCTCTCCGTGCTCAGACCCAGTATTCAGGGGTCTCCCCACAGTACAGCATTATCCTCGGTGGCATAGTTCACCATTGCAGCAGTTCATATTCTCATTTAACTCGGCGGATAAGAAGACGATTCGTGGACAGGTCGCCCGTCCAAAATCTCCAAGGCGCGGAGCGGGGCGGAGCTTAACTCGTTAGAGTGTTGCGACCACGCCTCCTCTTCCGATGGGTTATCAACGCGGATACCGATCTTCAATGGAAGCATCCGCTGGATTCACGCAGGCGAATATAGACGATCTTCATCTCCACCTCAGAAGTAATACGACTTACTTATATATTACCTTTCCTATATTAGCGCTATTATTTAATAAGAGGGGTTAAAGATTATACCTAGTATATTATAGATAACTTACTACTATATATCTAATTAGTATTAATACTACTTAATTACCTTTATTAACTCTATCCTCTACTTTAATATAGTATTTACCTTTAGTCTTATATTATAGCTAGCTAACTAATAGTAGGGTTTATATTAATAGTAAGTTAGGCAATAATAATAGTAATAGTTATTTATTATTCTATAGGTCTAATTAAGTAATTATAGGTCTTTAAAGGGCTTAGTAATTAGTTAAGTCCTTAATAAGATTTATAGAGTAATTATTACTTAGATATAGCTAAAAGTCTTAAGTGAGAATTATAAGTTAATTGCTAAAGAGCTATAGAAGTCTATCCTTAAGTAGACTTAAGTCTATTCTATATATAAGTCCTAAATAGTATCTTTACCCTTCCTACTAATTACGTTATTAGTACTAGTAAGCGCTTAGTGATTATGGGTGAGCGCTTAGTAGTCTTAACTAAGCGCTCAGTTCCCCACTTTCCTCACTCAGTCTTATCTTATTATTACGTAACTTATACTATAGTTCTTCCATCCCAAGGGATCCCTTCTATTCCCGTGATCCTATATATAAAAGTGTTGTTATAACCGCCTAGCTCCCTATGGGCCCTAGCCCTATTAGTTATACCTAATGGGTTGTAATATTAGGTCCCCTCTTTAAAGGTCTAGTCCCTCAGACTAATATAAGTAGGTAGTATCTCCTAGGTTAGGGAGGTATCAATTATATTTCCTAATTTTTATAATACTAATACTATATTAGGTTATATTCCTAATTCTCCTGTAATATCTACCCTTTATTATTACTACTATTTACTTAAGATTGCTATAAAGGGTTTTAGAGTTATACCTTATCGTTATTATCGTTCTAAGGGCTTGCGTTATAAGATATTGCCTAGCTCCCTAGTTTATAGAGAATGTATTAGTATGGGTAGTACCTAGAAATCTTATAATGCGTTAGAAGACGCTATTTATTAATATTTATTTTCTTATTTCTTCCCTTACTCCCTTTACTAATTTCATTTTTATAGTAAAGCGTCTTATAGTTAAGTCTTATTGCCTTAATAATGAGGAGGAGGAGGCAGAAGAATTATTTTAGAAGCAAATAGAGGCGCTATAGAAGGCGTAGTCTAAAGTAAATAAGGTCCTTACGAAGTTGGATTGCGTCTATAAGGCGAAGCGGATGGTTTTCAAAAAGAGTTAGAAGGAGACTAAAGTAGTGGCGGATAAGTTAGAGGAGGTCCTTCCAGCTGAGTCGTCTTCTATATAGGAGGCTTAGTTAGTAGGTACTTAGGGTGCTATGGATCTTTCTAATATGCTGGGTGACTAGAATCCTAGTACTCTGAATTTCTTATCTGCTTCCTAGCCTGTAGGTTTCTTAGAAGTCCTAGATGCTTTATTTATTTTATTAAAGTTCTTTTATCTATTAGTATTTATTACGTAGCTACTCTAAATAATTGAGGTGTTCTACTAGTTCCTATATATTTTCTTTATGCCTATAACCTTCCCATTTTACTAGGTATTTATCTTATCCCTTATATTCCTAGTAATTAAGGATCTAGTCGACTTTATATTCTTATTCTAGGTTGACTTTAATATGGTCTTATATATAGGATCCTTATAGTGCCTTTTTAAGGAGTAAGATATAAAAGACTAAATAGCACTTTATAGTATCTAGTAGTATAAGTTTAAAGTTAATATTAGATACCTTCTTTATAATTTTAAAAGGTCTAAGTTTCTTAAAGTCTAACTTATTACTTAGTTATTTAGTTTTAATATTTTAGTAGAGAAGGTATATATTATCCCCCTCCTATAGAGTTAGTCCCTTAACTCTTATAGTATTAGCGTATTAATATATTTATTTATATATAAATTTAAGGTCTTTTAGTAGTTCCTTTTAGATTTCCTTAAGTTTATTAATATCTACTATAGCTTTTAGGGCTATTAGGCCTTATTATAGTTACCTATAGGTTATTAGGTTAAATCTATAGTTTAGATAGAATAGTAATTCCTTTATGCTTTCTCCTATTACGCTATTATAGGCAAACTAGGCTATAGGTAGTAGTTATACCTAGTTATCTTACTAATAGTTAATATAGTAGTATAGATAGGTTTCTATAATCTAATTAATTTATTCTATTTAGCTATTAGTTTATAGATAGAAAGCAGTAGATATCTTATAATTAGATCCTAGCTATAAGATTAGAGATCTCTAAAACTTAGAAGTAAATAACTTATCCCTATTAGAAACGATTTCCTTTAGCATTCTATATTAGCTAATAATTACCTATAGAAACTTATAGGTAAGGTCTTCTATAGTGTTAGACTCTATATATAGGATAAAATATAAATACTTTATAAGTCTATTAATAATAACTAGGACGCTATTATAGTAGACTTTAGTTATTAGTTCTTAAGACTTAGGTAACTTAGTAATAAAGTTTAATAAGATAGATTCCTATATAGTTTATAGTACTAAGAGCAGCTATATCTTACTATAAGGCTAATATTAGCTAGGTTTACTTTTTATATAAACCTTATAGTCCCTAAT